CTGTCATATGCATTTGCAAATAAGAGTTTTGTTCCTTTAATAAATCACAACCGTATATGCGACTCACTTATTGGTGTTTACCCAACCTGTTTTAGATTTTTTTTTTTAAATGTATGCAAGTTTGTTTCTGTTATGATATCGTGTAATATTGACTGGCTATAACAATCCAAATGTGGATGATTTTTTATACTGACTGACTGCTGTGAGACTAAAGCAACTACATGTGGAATACCAGCAGCAGTGTCAATCTCATTAAAGGGGTCATATAATGCCATTTTTGTACAAGCTAATATGATTCTTTAGGGTCTAAATTAAAAGTTTGTAATATACTTTAATTAAAAATTCTCATTAGTATTGTAAGAAAACACTTATTTTACCTAGTCAAAAACAGCTCTGTTTTCAGCACGCCGTTTCAGTGCATATGACTTTAAATGATAATGAGCTTTGCTCACCCCGCCTCTCTGTTCTGCGCATACACCGTTTGTAACACAATAACACAATACCATAACGCGTTGTTCATTATAAACGTGGGATTATGAATTACATTGAGAACGTTGTACATAGAAAACATGCTGTAATGTACCCTGAGCGTAAACCGAGTGTAAACCATCGTAAAGCGTGCAGCTGGCGATTTGCAAAGATTAATATAAATATTAATATAAAGATTAATAAAACGTTACACTCACTTTAGTTCTTCTGAAGGTTCAGCAGGAAGACGAATAGGTTCCGATCCTTTATTCAGGTGCAGCTTCTCAGCAAAACCAGCTTTACACTGATCCTCGTTTATAAAGCAGTCCACTGAGAAATGATTCGGCAAACATGAGAGCATTGACGTTGCTCGTGGGGAATAATATGCGTCTTCAGCGGTTCGGATTTAGGAACATTAAAATGACTGCTGTGTTCGTTATTGCACCCAAGAACAGAACACCACAATCGCTTAGACGCCATTCTGCTCATAGACAGTGCTCCAGCATATCAACAATGACCGCGCGATTGACAGGACGAGCGAGGGCGGGTCTGTGTTGAATCACTGCTGTCAATCAACAATCGCGGGAGGGGCGTCCGTTTTATTGACGTCACAAAAACGAACGGCTCAATTTGAGGCAGGGGAAAACATATAAGGAGATTAAAACAAAAACACTGGATGGATTTTTATCGTTATATGATGGTTGTGCATAGGCACTGCCAATACACATTTCAGTACAATCAACTTGTAAAAGTGCATGTACCATTATATGACTCCTTTAAAATCTCTTCAATTTCCATAAGTTTCACTGGGCATCAGACTGTTCAAAAAATATATATTAGTTTTATTATCATAAAACCCTCAAAGTACAAATAAAGTAAGCAGTTACAGACATAAAATAAATATAAAAGCTGTTTTAATTATATGTTTCTACATTTCATTAAAAAAAAACCCATTGAGAATTCTCCATCGGGCTGCATGCAAGACCTGTGACTTATTATCTACTCTAGAGAGCATTGGTACCTAAATGGAATAATTCATTAAATAAAATGTCTAAGTCTGTAAGGCAAGGCAAGGCACTTTTATTTCTAGAGCACATTTGCAGCCACTGCTGACCAAAGTGCTGTCCAATCACTTGGACAGGAACAGGAACACACACAAATTCATAAAATTACATTGAACCAAAAGCCAGAGAGAAAAAAAATAAGTCTTTTGTGAGGATTTAAAGCTATCAACATTTGAGGACAGCCTTAAGTGTTCCCGCAAATCATTGTAATCACATGTAATCACAAATGACTGCGATTAGTTGATCATGACCAATGCTGATGAAAGCAACAGGAAAAACATGACGGCATCATTCTGAGTGCATCCAAGGACAAGTATTATCATTGCCACTTTATAAGTAGCCTATATAATATATAAAAAGTACATGAAATAGTAGAATTCTCATTTTGCATTTCTACGACAATCTGTTGTTAAATTCCATTCAGCATTAATGGACTGCTGCTTATTTGTGTCTCCTTTGCGGAGAGTGAATATAGAGAGGAGTGCATGTGAGCTGAGAGTGCATATCTGCAACCAGACACAACTTGGGGCTTGGAGCAGGAAAACCGCTCTCACAAGAAAAAGACCTTGGCTAATATCAAATGAAGACAAGAGTTTCATTTACACATGAATGTCCCCCACTCAGTTCAAATGATCCTCTACCTTGAGAAGTTTAATAAAAGTTACCCTCAAGCGCTTTTCTGTCCCTTCCTGTCATAAGCCCTTAAAAGCATGTTGTGAAATTTACAGGAATCCTATACACCCCCAACCAATTAGCCAGACTGAAAGCTCTGTCTGCTGATGAATACACGGGAGCGTAGGCCCTCGAGGTGTGTGACCATCAGTATGTTAATTTATTCATTTCTAAACTTTACATAACAATTAGTGGCCTTCTTTCGCATGCATGCCAGGGCTCTTATTTACTTTTCACAGAGAGATGGCTAAAGAAAGGGGTGATGAGAGAACATAAATGGAAGCTTCGGATGGAGGGGTGTCTATTTTGATCACTCCTCTTCCCTGTATTAAGAGAGACACCGCCCCCTTGTTTATGTGTTTATGTAACATGTCAAGCTGAAAACTGATTTTTGTGCACATCATTGATCCAACTCATTAAACTTCAGCCATTTTGTGATGAATGCTGATATTATGATTGTATGATGTTCCCATTTCCCCTGAACAGTAGGTGACAGGAATACATGGATCTGTCTCTGAGCAGTTAAAAACAAAACAAAAGAAAAAGTAATGAAAATGAACCAAGATAGATAGATAGCCTAGATAGAAAGATAGATAGATATAATTTTTTATCACACCTGAATGACCTACACATCTCAGTCTCTCACCTGCACAGCCTCTGAAACACCACCAGATGACATTGGCGTCTAGAGGACAATCAAGTGTATTGAAAAGATGAGAAACCGCTACGTCACTGAAAATGGTGTGAAGCATTATGGTCTTTTTGTGCTTGTAAGTTAAAACGCACGAGACGGTGTCAGAAATAAATCACCTAAAATATAAGCTACAATATCAATTGTCCATATGATGTAGGCTGCATTACATCGGCATAACAAATGTGAAAATGCCATAAAATGTGAAAATGCATGCATGATTTGCCATATATGATAGAATTGATGCATGCATCGACACGATCGAGGCTCAACCATGTGGTTATTCTACTACGTGGCGAACTTCTAGATGCGCTCGTTGTGTCCGCCACAACGCAGTGTGCACAGCTTCGTCAGCACATTACAGCATGTGAGGTGTCGCGTCTCTCCTTCGCACTATGCCTGTGTTAACAATACAACCATCGCGGAGAAGCATAGCATAAAAAAGAAAATGCTAATTTGAAATAGCCTACGCCGTACTGCGTAAATTATTAAACCCATCTTTTCTGACAGTGATGCATCCCTATGTTTGTTTACTAGATCAGCACATGCCTGTGGAAGAGCAGCTACGTCTTAACTTCCCAACTCAGAGTGCAAAACGTCTTCTCTGCCCTCTTTTTATGTCGGAAGAACCGAGATGACTTGCTTCGATAGAATGGTGAAAGGGGGTTTCCTTACCTTACAGTGTGCATCCTCCCCCTGGCTGGTCAAAATCTGTTATTTTCTGCCGCTAAACCTTAAACATCCCTCAGCGTCACTGTGTGCTGCAGCCAAGGCAACCAAGTCTCGCGATGTTTGGCGTCTCAGGTGTCGACGGAGAGCGACAAGGAGACTGGGACGTAGGATGGGATGGTTGGAGGCTCTGTCTGTAAATACAGGGGTTCATAAGTAGAAAGGGGGATCTAAACATTTCGAACGATTTCCTTAACGGTTCCATTAACGATTATTTTACTACTTACAAAAAGAAATGCTGGTCCCATTACAGCCTACCTCACTCAGCAGCAGTCTGATCTGTTCTGTTGCCAAACTCATGGACAGATTCACAGTTAGATTCACAGTGAATCACAGATATAACAGATCAGACAAAAAAAAAAGATTAATGTTTGCAGACTTTTGAAAAATACAGACTTTCTATGCAATGTAATAAACTGTACGAATGTGCAAAATTTGGAGCAAAATGCTGATTCAAATTCAATAATATCATTTACATTTTCTATTTCCTACACTAGTTTTAACATATAGGCCTAAATTAAACATATATTTTAATTAGGTATTGACCATAAATTGCCTAACTAGCCTATATATTAAAAATACTTAAACAAAAATGTTGACATATTTCATTCAAATTCGTTATATTTTATTATAATACAGTGTAGACCCAACATTTGGTTGTTTCGAGATATGATTAAATAAAAACTAAACAAGTAGCCAATATGATAGATTTGTGAGTCAGATTAATTCATTAATTGCTCCAACTGATTAATTTATTGAATTTGTTTTATTTAAGTTTTATTATTTTATATATTATTTTAATATTTATTCTCCTTCTCAATTCAGTTATAGTCACAAAAGACACAGTATATTCACAAAAGACTGCAACAAAAATATAAGCAATTAATCATTTATTAAAGAATGGGCATGTAGTGTGAATACAGCTTGGAGTTTTTATTTTATCACCTCTTTTTAAGTATTTGCATTAATGTTTGGATTTGATTAGTATATTAATGTGCATAGTGCGCTAACATTTCATATTACTTGTTATAATAGTAATTTATAGAACAACAATCTGTGTAAGGTGTTCCCCAGCTTAATTATAATCATAAGTAGGCCTACATGATTTTCATGACTATAATCAGTACTTACTCATGTTAATTACATTATAATGAATGGAAAAGTGTGATGATATGTAATTTAAAGGGCGGTTCCAGATTATGCAGTCAAAACTGTTTACCTTTATCTAAATTACAGGAAAAACAGCAGTGTGTGCCAAGCAGTTCATCACTGAGTGAAAATCGGACATTGTTGCCCAAGGCACATTATTCTCATTTGTTCACTTCTAAAGTGCAACATGCAGACAAAATATCAAGCGAATCAAAACATTCTCCACCTGACACCTTCATTTAAATTGATATAATTCCTGCATTCAATTCCTCCAAAAATACATACATATTTCTTCGTTCAAAGCTCACATTCAGATGCAGATTTAGAATCAAAGTTAAAAGTACAAGTAGAGACGTTTGCCTTTCACATTTTAAACGTCTTCCTGATGGATCTACAGTTTGTTGCATTGTGACTATGTGTGCATAGGTGTGTTTTTGGTTATTATAGTGCAGGGAAATAAGAACAGGCATAAATTAGGTTTGTTTAGGGTCGTAGGTTCACAGGTCGTCAGTCTCCCCATCAAATGGTATAGTATCCAACTCCATGTGGATGCTGCCTGGTTCAGCGCTACCCCCCCAACCAATGGGTGTGCGGTTAAAGGAGGGTCGTGAGCCGATATCATGCTGGTACACCACCGCTGTTTCAGGCTCCTCAACAGCCACCTCGATGTCTGGCAGCTGGAAGGTCATCAGCTGAGAGGCCTTCTCAAAGCCTCCATAGGGCATAGCACTCCTAGACAGATTGAGAGATAGTAATTAAAGGCAAAAAAGAGACCATATGACTGAAAAGTACAATTGCAGAATGCACAGGAAGCGAAGAAATGCACCGGCACCTGTTAAAGCTCTTATATTTGCTCAGCTCCTTATAAAAATAGGGTCCTGGCATTTGAGCCTTCATTGTGGCTAGAAGGTCTTCGTTGCCCTTCATAGCCCGTTCCCAAGGCGAAACGTATGTCCTCCCATATGCATCCCTCTTTTTAGCCTTTTCCTGAGCACTTTCCTCACCTATATAGAAATAAACCATAAACTGATTGAAAGTGATCGATCAAGTCACATAAGTAAAAGTGTTCCATTAGTTAATAGGATAGTTTGCCTAAAATTTCAATTCTCTCTTCCATCATTTACTCCTTTTGTGTCGTTCCAAAACTCTATGACTGGATTTGTCCATTCAATGAAAGTCAATGGAGTCCAAAATAACACTGGACCCCACTGACTTCCAATCTATAGACAAAAACAAATGAAACCTTAAGAAGTCAAACATGTTTGAAAAAGCATGCGGGTGAGGAAAAGATGACAGAATTTTCATTTTTGGGGGAACTGTCTCTTTAACAACAGTGTTATTTTAGTATTATTTATATACTATTATAGTTTTTATTAAAACTCTTAAATTATTTTTTTATTTTAGTTTATGTGCTTTTATCATTTTATCAGGTGCTTTTTAAATTTTACTATGTATGTTTATTTATTTTTATTTCAGCTTTAGTTTTTGTTCAGTTTCAGTTTTCATTTCAAGTTAGTAATTTTAGAGCTTCAACTTCAACTTATTTTAGTTCCAAGGCAAGATCTGTCAATTTCTTTCAGTTTAAGTTTCTCATCTAAAATGTATTTTATTTTATTTCAGCTTCATTTTAATTAAGATTTTTTTTATTAATAATTGTTGTTTTAATTAACGAGAATAATTCTGTTTAACACAAGTTTCATTGTGAGTCTCCATGGCAGTTTCTAGAGTGGGTGAACAAGCTAGTGTATAAAGGTCTCCATCTGGGTTCCTACTCACTCTGTGAGGCATCTCCTGACACACCATCCTTCCCTCCCGCTCCTCCAGCGAGCCCACCTGCTAGCAGCCCACCCCCTGCTCCCTTGCCATAGCTTCCGGGTTTGGGAGGAGGCACTGGTGCTTTGCCGGTCCCACCAGCCTGACCAGCCATCTGTCCACCAATCAGGCGGCCACCAACATCCATCATCTGGCCCCCCAGGCTGGGCACGAACTTCTGGAGGTTATCCTTTACACAGAGTTACATGGTAATTAGTGGAAGAATTTCCAAATCAGCATTCAAATCATGTTCAATTTAAATAAGAAATAAGAAAATGACCAGAATAAAGAATCAGAGATGAATGTAGAACGTTGACATACAGAAGATCTGTTTTTTAGGAATAATGACAGGCATATTAGGAATAATATACACAGATGTTCAGAGCTCTCTGCCTTACCATGGACTCACTACTGAAGAGGTCGGGGTTGTTCTCATAGATGAACCTCTCTACACGAATCTGCCTCATCTTGAACATCTTGGAGCCTTTGTTCTTCAGAAGGGATAGTTCCTCCAGCATGACGTCCTTGGGTACCCTGATTTTCTTCCCCAAGTCAAACTCTGAGGCCTCAGGCTCAGATTCATACTCTATTTAAAAAAAAAGACATTATTTGCTAAATATTTTATGTTTATAAATCATGTAATTAAAAAATCTGGTCAAAGTCTTTTATAAAATACACTCTTAGAAGAAAAGGTTCTATATAGAACATTAGAGGGTGTATGAATGCTTGAATCTGACTGGTTGATGAACGTTCTAATGGTGTGCAATTATTTTCAGGAAAAAGATATATATAATAGTGCTGTCAAATCGTATATGTGTGTGTGTGTGTATCCACATACAGTATATAAATATATGTGTGCGTATATATACAGTATATATACACACACACAGAGACATATTATATATATATATATATATATATAAAAATACAAACACATATTATTTAAACAAAAACTTATGTCAGATGCGATGAATCGCGATTAATTGATTTGACACACACACACTTGGGGTCTATCTGTGCACATGCCTGGCAGCGTAATCCATTTTAGCTATTGGTAAACTTGTATTTTAACTGTGCATGATATTATTATGATGAGACTATGCTTGAAAAGAAGGTCCTGGATTCTCTAATATCAAGTGTCGTCATATTTATACAGATATATCTATTTTTCTGCATTGTAATCAGTAACTAAGTAGCATTAGTTATCCTACCACCCACTGTTTGTGCTGGGAAATCACCCAGTTCCTTGGAAATGTTCATGACTGTTAATATAAATATATTTTGAAATGTATCAAGTCTATTTCTGCATTAGATTTAACATCCCTCATAGCTTTAACAAGGAATAAGTGTTTCCTCACATCAAAATAATGTTGCCTAAGGAAAAAACAAACATGTACCAGGATCGCAAGAGTCTCTCAACAGTCTTCACACTTCATTGGCTAAATTTTGGATTCTTTCACAACAATAATTTTTCACTCACGTTCAAAGCTTGAAAAAGAACATATCGATTTCATTTCATTTTCCATTGGAGACACTTATGTAATGTTCTTTCAGTAGACTATGTGTCCCATGATTATAATGATGAGGGGGAGGAAGAGGTGCTCTGGTAATAATCAGAGACACAGCTGACATTTCAGCTATGAAATCTACAAGATACATGTTGTCGCTGACATATTACTCCTCATTAAATCATATTAAATCCAGACGCATGAAACCTTAGTGACAGGCCCTGAAATTAAGATGATGTTCCCAATAAACAGTTTCAAAGTGACACCTTAAGACAGGCTGTCTACGCAGACGATTGAGCAGGTTGTATGCTGTCTGCATTATGGCATGGTCGTCAAAATCTAATCTCTTTAATGACATCTTTCAAAGAAGACACCTTCACACCTGTCAGGAAGGCTAAACAAACACACTCTTTAATTATATGAAGCACAAAAGATGTGAAGAAAAAACAACAACAGTTATTTAGTCCTAGATCCCAACAATCAAGGATAAAGCTCAATGGGTGTCTCACCATCTTGGGTTATGTGTGACAGGTCAGTGATGATCTTGGAAAGCTTTTTCCTCTTGTTGGGTGGGGCTGGTGTTCCTAACAGAGGCATGATTCCAGACTGGGAAAACAGAGATCAGAGTGGATTTGACCATAATAAAACGCATCCTTGTCTTGTCTATTTGCAGTAGTTTTTGATTGATGAACAGGTATTGTTTTCGTGTAGTAAGCAAACTCTGCAGATGACACGGTTAGTCCCTTAGGAATAAAGGGGAAGAACAGACACTTGCTTAATATCAATGACCTCACATTCCTCATATTAATTGATTAACTGATCAAGTGTTTTCTCAATTTCACTTTCCATACTGCAATGACGTCCTCCTCCAGGAGGTGACAGCATTTTAGGTGGAGCATCGACAGCACAAATATCAATAAGTAACTGATTAATACATATGAATTGTGTAATTTTGTGCTATTAATTAGTTTGTCTCACTTAAAAACATTGCATTGTATTATATGATATCTGTATCTGTACAGTTCATACAGATCTGAATCAAGCACTAAAGAATATCCAAATTTAGCTCTTTATTTCAATTATGTTTCGTTGTTTTCATGCCATATAAAATCAAGTTATAATTAATAAAGTTTAACCTAATTTTCTACTTTCAAAGTCTGAGCATGGAAGTCCATTAGTAAAGTGCAGTTTGGGCCTATTTTTAATTTTCATTTCATTGGCTTACACATAGTATATCTGCTATTTTTTCAAGGCTCTGTTAATGGCAAACACTGCATCGACTTGACTGTAACTCAATACAGTATGGCTATTTTTGAAGCGAGACCTTTTAGTGACGAGTCGTGGCATTGGATTTATTTATTTATTTTGTTAGATACTCTGAATTTGTAACAAACAAACATACACACATAAACACACCTACACGATGACTTATCGCATTGTAGAAATTGGAAATCTCCCTCAAACTAATTCGACATCACGGATTGATGTGTGGTGAGGAGGGGGGCGCACTGACCCACCCTGTAAAATAATCACAAGCTGTGGTCCACTAGGCTTAAGTTCCCCCAGCTGGACAGTATGCTTTGCATTCCATGTAAAATCGTCAGCCAGTGGGTGGGAGTGTTCAGCACATTCCCACTTTCTGGCAACAAAAAGGCAGAGGGCAAATGGAGCATTCGAGCTGGAATATTCCAATCAATGCAAATTTACAATGAGAAAATGCTGTCAGTGCTTGCAAACTCTGAGTGGGTATCACACCAGCAACAGGAGTTATGGCTGGTCATGTTTTCATCGCCGTCATGCAGCTGTTAGTTAAACAGTGTGTGCGGTTAGTTAAGTGACCGAAAAAAAAATCACATAATCCACTTACCAAGGCTCTAGACTGCTTACAAGACGTGGTCTCAAAGGTACAGTGAAAATAGGAAATGGCTTGTGGCTAAGAAGTTTGGTACCTTTGACCTGTGTGGCTGGACCAAGAACCCAAGGCGTGCAAAATCCAGTCGGGACTTGGATGGCAGATCTTCATGGGGGGAGGGAGAGTCCGGGTAAGAAGGGGGAGTGAGGGGTAAGGGGGGCCCAATTGGTCTGCACAGCACTTTGCTGATGGGAATATCAAGAGACTAATATCTGTCTTGCAGATGCTTCCTTGGCTAAATATAGAGAGAAGGAGAGAGACTGTGTGATTGCACATAGTTATCAAATAGCTACAAGAGGCAAAAGGACTGTGGTAGATTTGCACTTTTTCTTCTTTGGTTAGTCACCTTCCACTTGTGAGAGGATTTTCACTTTTTAAATCCAACAGCGGGCCCCCTGTGCTAAATTTATTATTATGATAATGATTTAAGCACTCAGAGGGGTCAACTAACTTCAGTCCAATATAACATGGACATGGTTCTAAATAGTTGTAGTGTGAATGAGACAATTAGTGGTGAAATTCACAAATTTGCACAGAGTGCAATCTCACTAGTTTGACACAACGGCCTGATTTGAAATAGAACCTTTAGGTGTGTGTGTGTATGTGTGTACACACACACACACACACACACACACACACACATATATATATACACTATACAAAAATGTTAAGCCATTTTTTAGATGTACGTATTTCAATTAATAGTAAAATTACATCAAATTTAATTGAATAATCCTTACATATTTTAATTGAATAAAATAACAATCCTTAATCAATTATTAAAATATGTAAGGATTATTCAATTCAATTTGATGGAATTTTACTATTAATTGAAATGCGTAAATTTAAAATAATACAATTATTCAGAACAGTAAAATTACTATAAATAATATAATTCTCTTTCTTTACTCCATAATGTCTCTGCTAGTCGGGAAGAATTGACATTTCCCACCTGCAGGGACAATGTTTTATCACTTTCTCACCCACATCATTTGCACTGAACCTGAGAACTCGTCAGATCTCGCTATCTTTGTCAATTCAGGAAGGATCCACTCAAAAATGGAATCTAAATAGGGAAAGTGCCATAAAAAGTGCCTGAACGTTCTCAGTCCTAAATATAGGAGGAGAGCATATGCATGAGAGTGGTGCCAGGTTCAGCTCGGCTCACCAACAATGTGCAATACCACACTTCACCGCTACTAAGTTTTAGAAGAAAGACTGTAGATTATAGATTTGGCACTATATAAATGTCAATTATTGTGATTTAAAATTATAAAGATAACAGCAGGTGTTTTTTTTTTTTTTAAATGAGAAAATGCTGAAATGCTCACTCTCATGTTCCATTACATACCGGTAACTTGATTTAAATTGTAAAATGTGAGACATAAGCGCCACCATGTGGTGATTAGTCACCATTATTGCCTGAACCATGTGGTTTTAGTCTTTTTAAAAGGAACACATTGATACTGATATATTTTCTTTTTCTTTAAATACATTAATCAACTATTAACACATGCCAAATATTTTAAAACGAGTTTGGCCCTTTTCATAATGGCTTTTTTAAATAATTCACACACCATTATGCTTGAGAAGTGAGGCATTAGGATCATGTCTGAATTACATGCAATGGTTTGACGCTTACCATGAGACAGAGACACTGTGTGAAATTTCAGGTTTTATTCAAACTATTGATTGTATTAGAAATACATGACACTTTCAGTTAGAATCATATATGTCCTAAAGTTAAGCTGAGCTCATTATACGCATTGCAAAAACAAAATCACCAGAGACATTAAAGGGTTAGTTCACCCCCCAAAAAATATTCTGTCATCATTTACTCACCCTCAAGTTGTTCCAAACTTGTATGAATTTATTTCTTCTGCTGAACACAAAAGAAGATATTTTGAAGAATGTTGGTATAACAAAACAGTTGTGGGGCACCATTCACTTCCATAATTGTTGTTTTTTCATGCTATGGAATTCAATGGGGTCCATCAACTGTTTGGAAACCCCTATTCATCAGAACATCCTCCTTTATCTTTAACGGATCAAATAAATTCATACAGGTTAGGAACAACTTGAGGGTAAGAAAATGATGACAGAATTTTCATTTTTGGGTGAACTATCCCTTTAACCACAAAGTGTTTACAAAGACAGACAAATTGATCAAATGATTTGTACAACAGCCAAAATTAAGAGAACTGAACAAATTTAAAACTTTAGTCTATAAAATAAAACATGATAACAAACGAACTGGGGAGAAAAACAAAATTGTGGCTCAGGGTTTAAACACCCTATCTACTCAACGTTTTTGTCAACTTCTAATTCAATTTATAAATGTAGCCTAGTTTTTAAAAAAGGAGACAGTTTAAAAACTAAATTTTCTCGCCTGCCAGTACTGCAATCATTATTTATTCATCCTCTCTGAGTCTCTGTATATCTAACACACATTTATATAAACTGATTTCCCTTCTTTTAACCTCAATTCATTGTTCCCTTAATGTTACAAGGCCTCAGATTTTTTTTTCTCTAAAGACGTTGCAATATTTTTGAGGAACACATTCAAAAACAACCACAATTATCAGCCTCACTGCCACAAATGCCATTCAAATGTCATGTTGCTTTGAGTATTCTGACTAATTCTAGTGAAGCCAGTTGGCTAATAAACCTTCTGATAATCCAGGACAGTGCTAGCTTTGCACTTTTTACGCCTGTCTTCATGCGACAGATTTGCTTCAGGGCTCAAATAGCCTATGTCTGTCTCTAGAACTCTTTCCAACACTGTATCTTTCCAACACTTACTAATTTGACCACTTGAATACGTTTCTAAAAAAAAATGATTAAAAAGATTTTCATTAATCTTACCCCTTTAAAATATAGGTACAGGGATATAAAGACTACACATCCAGCCAGAGCACACTTTAAAGAACCAGCCTGGTTTCCCTGTTTACTTTGCTCCTACAAATATGCTGTGACCCTCATGCACCTGTTCAGTTCAGGCTCTGCCAGGAGAGATATCATTTCTGATTGACCTAAGAGCATACAGCAAAACAAAGCCTCGTCTTGTCTCATTTTCTTAGGGAATTTTTCCATTCTTAAAAATGTCAAGTAGATCAAGGCTTTGCAAAGCGATGACACTTTTGTATGTAAAAGGTGCCAAAAGTCAAAACTCACACATGTCTTGAAGAAATTTTGAAAGAAAATATCTCAAAACACCTCAGTCAAATCCATGTTCTATTTCAGTCCAATCCATGTGAAATGTTTTTCTAGGCACCATGTCAGATTGTAGTTTTCTTCATCCCTATAAAATTGGGAATCTTGCACTGCAAAACCCTGTTGTCTAGCAGTCACTGGTAAATAAGTACTCTGACACATTGTCAATAGCTTTACAATAATTAGTTTTACATTTAGTATTTAACTTGTTAGGACCATTTTTACTGCTGTAACCTGATGTGTAAATGTAACAAGATATGCAATGAGAAAAGAAACAATACATGACGCAACTGATTGGATTGAGAATAATAGGCATTACACACCACTAGGAAGCCAGACCGAATGTGAGTTTGTCTAAACAATGCCTGAGTAGCTATTTGGCTATTGGTTAATATCCAATTTGCCCACACTTTGATAGAAGTTTACAAAGCCAAACAATGTTTTTCTTTGCATAACGTAGATAAATTGTTTACATTAAGACCAGGAACATGCATTGAGAAATGCATGCATGTAGGTTCAATTTTGATTTCAAAATGGGAGGTTTAAAAAATACTGATGAACATTTTGCAGAAAAGCACTCTCAAAACAAAGTTAACATACTCCACAGTATATTTTCATATGAAATGAAGAATATCATTTCTTTGTATCTTCAAGTTATATTAAACAGATGTTAACACATTGATCATACTTTGATCACACTGTATCATCAAAGTAGGAATTTTGAGTCTGGAACAGAAGCAGATGGTTTAGATTCTTTTGCATATAAATGAATACTGTCAGTGAGGTAGGGTTCCAGGCCTCCAGACGCGGGGCTGGATACCCCCTCTTGTTGCAATAAAGCGAGGTTTGGGAACTTGAATATGAGACTTTAAGGGGTTTGGTGGTAGGGCACTTAACTCAGGGGCACTCTTAAACTGTTTGGCAGCTTGGAACCCAGAGTAGCTTAGGCTTGACATACTTGACATGGGAGCTGGGGGTGAGTACGGCATGGGGTGAGGGATGGGGACAGCTGAAAGTTTGGGGAGCTCTGGGAGGCCTGGGGCCCGTAAAGTTGCTGACGTTGATTCGGTCACAGGTTCAGGTGGAGGGGACGTCAGGTCAGAATGAGAGAAGTGTTCGCCAAGCGTGGTCCGTGAGCGTGGTACAATCACTGTGGGGTTGAGAGTTGGTGCTGACATTGGGGTGGGAGTGGAGAAACGTTTGATTTCATACACACGTGCCGCCTTTACTGGGATCTGCTTGGGTGGTGTCAGAGTATGGCCCTCCTTCTGTTGCCTCTGGTAGGAGGGGATTGAAGACTGTGTGCCAATGCCGCCACCAGAACTGAACATTGCAGAGTTCAGTTGGTAAGGCTGCCGCCTCATGAAGTCCAAGACCTTGATACCCTCTTTTGGGACACCATAAGTACCCTTACTTCCTTTGAAACTTCCCTCAGACACCTTGGCACCTCCACGCTGAACCCCAACAGGACAGGAAGGAGACAGCAAGGGGTTGTAACCTATTGGTGGAGGGGCACGAACATTAGGGGAATACTTCCATTGGGATGGAGTTGGTAAGGGTTCCAGTGGTTGGATCAAGTCTATGACTGATTGGGATTGTTGGGGTTGTAGAGGTGCAGGCTGCAGATGTGGAGAGTCTACAACAAACAAACCCATGCGACTCTGTCTACGAGCAAACAGCTCTGCACCTTTTCCCTCTGCTTGAGGGATCTGTGACATTTCTGGGATGACCCGTGGCTTAGGAGCCACAGGCGGTGGGACCCTTGTCCTATTGTCATCAATGTTGTGGGTAATATCTTCAGGTTCAGAATATACACACCTGGGTCTTTCATCTAGGTTCTGCACCATAGACAATAGTTCAGGGTTTGGTGAGTTCTTCTTGCTGTCAGGTATCTTAAACATTGGCTTGTATGCACTACGGCGTTGGGACTCTCGGAGAATACCAGAGCGGCCACCAGAGGAAGAGGTTTTTTCACGATAAACTATTGGTGACAGCGAAGTAACAGGGCTTGTAGGGGTCTCAGAAGTTGTCACCATGTTGTCAACAGGGATTGCAGGAGGAACAGCGGTTTCTTCTTTATTAAGAAAGGTAGGTTCTTTGGTTTGAACTATGGGAGGTGGCACTGATGCAACCTGGATGTTTTCCACTGAGGAGCAGTGAAGAGCAGGTTGAGAATATGATTCCATGGATACAGAAGCAGATGGAGGAACAGACTTTCCAGGCATAAAGGGCTGTGTAGGTATCATTTCAGAAGGGACATATTCACTCATTTGATTCATTGTGACTTGGCTTACAAAGGAGACAGGGGTGACACCCCTGGCATGCTCTTCTGATGCTGCTGAAAATGATGGTACCACCACAGCCACCGAAACAGGTCTGGGTGTCTTTCTACTGACTGCAGGGCGAAACACAACAGGAGCGGTGGCTGCCCGATTGATAACGCAGCCTGGGGCAAATGGACGGGCAGTTCTATTTAACACAGAGCTGGCAGGTAATTCTGGTAGAGGAGTTGGTGGTGGAACCATCACAGTTTCAGCAGAAGGTACTGAGGGATTAGTTTGGAGCAAGACAGAGGGGGCTGGCACCATTGTGCTTAAAGTATCCCTGCTAACCATAGCAGGAATGGCCTTAGGTGTGCTCATCTGTGTCATGTTTTGTGTTTCTGCTGGTGCAACCTCATGATGTAGTGTTTTTGAAGGTCTGGCAGGTTTTGGAGCAACAGATGGTGGCTGGACATTGGGCTTTATCAATAAGTTTGGTTGTGGTTGAGGTTGCAGTGTCTGTAGTTGAGGAAGTGATTGCGTCTCTTTCAGTACAATGCCCAGGATTTGGCTTTGTAACTGTTCTTGCGCAGCTTCCATTTTCTTTGCATGTTCCTCAGCCCTTCTCCTCTGCTGCTCAAACAACTGTGCCCCCTTCCCAGAAGTATCACTCAAACCAGGACTGAGAGCACCACCCTCTCCTTCCTGACCTCTGGAAGCAGATCTTTTCTCTAGCATCTCAAGATAGTCGCTGTCCCATGTGGGGTCCGGTGCAGCAGAGAAACCTTCCTCATCAAACTCTGATTCGCTGCCAGGAAATATGCCATCCTCTTCTTGAGAGTCTTGCCTCATGTCCTCATCAACACTTCCAAAGCTGGTTAGTGTGTATTTCTTGGAGCGTTGCCGGCGCTTTTTAAACATCAAAACACCCTTTGAATGAGGGTTTGGTGCATCCGTCAGTAGTGAGGCGATGGTGCGGCACTTGGACCGAGCTTCTTTCACCTGTTTGTCCATGACCGTCTCTCCACGGTTCAATTCTGCATAACATGAGATGAAAGGTTTCAGACAAAATTTTATTATAAATTGATTTTTATGGCTTTACACCATTCACTTTATTCAGTCAGATATAATGTTGAATAAAGTCAGTCTCATTATTCAAATAATACTCAGTCCTGTATTATTGTGCAAAATCAGTGCCCATCAATGTCCATACACTTGCTAAACTTTACTCCTCTGTTAGGAGGAGTTAGGATAGTTAAAGATCTTTTAACTGTTCTTTTAACAGTTTTCACATCATAACTCAGTAAAAATGTGGTTTAAATCAAAGCATTTAGCATCAGGGCCACTCATTATATGAATCTATAGCAATTAGTGAAAAAGAGCATGGTGCCAAATTGATTTGTCTACAATGGGGACATGCATTATTTACCAGTGCTTAATTGTGGTCCCTGAGAAGAGCATGAGAGTGTTTAGAGTACAAATTAGAGATGTCTTTAGATGTATGACTGTTTATTTATGCTGTTGCTTGAAATGTCAGTGCTTCAAATAGCTGTAGCTCTGAATATGCTTGTACACTTTATAAAAATGGTACTGTGGCACATGACCCAAACCTAAAACTAAGTCTCACCACTGAGTTAATTCCTAAACCCAACTATTATCATAAGAGGGAATTAATTAACTAGAATGAATGTAAATCATGAGGTGTAGCCATTTCGTTGGATTTAATAACTGTTGAATCTAATGTTTGCACTAAATGAATGAATGGTTATCATCGTACATATTTTTCATACATATTTAACATTAATGATCTATTAATAGCACATTAGATTCCACAGCAAGTAATCTCAGCATAAACACAGATGCCAATGTGTTGTTTACCACCTGATCTGGGATCAACAAACACACATTCCGCAGCTGCAGTCCAGGATCAGTGTCATACCAGTGCATGTACACTGCATTACTAGTGTCCAGGCACTGGAATGTAAAACCTGTGTAACTAATGGTGCGTATCTCATTTTATGGACACTAACCTATCTTCTGAAGTATGCTAATTTGTGACTGATTACATTTAAGTGACTCTAAATTCCTTTCCAGACAGATTCTGGCTGTTCATGTCTGAAAACAATACTGAGAATACTAACAATACTGTCCAGTATTTCAGCTGAGAATATAGGTGAAGAGAATGAGGCCTGTGAGGCGCTCTGTCACCTGATATGAGCTAGCAGCTGGAGATGCTTCTGCCAGCTCATGCAAAGCAGTGCTCAGGTTATCAATCCTGCGAGCCTCAGGACAAATATAGACACTTGTGGGGGCTACTCAGTATGATCAACCCTTTTCTCTTCAAAGGTTTACATGCAGGCAACCACAAACAGTGACTTTAAGAACATATTTACAAAGCAGGTGTTCATGACAGTAAGCCAATCACAAGAGCAATAATCTCAATATACTCACTTGCTTGTTTTGCTTTATCCATGTATGTTAATGTGAGTTCCTCATCCACTGGATTGTCAACTGGACCAACCATGGGAACCAACTGACTACGAGAGCTCAGCATAAGAGCTTCTTTGGCTCTCTCTAGAGAAACCAGAGGGGGAAGGTTTGAGGGCTCCTGAAACCCACTGTCTTCTTCCATTAGCGCTTCTCGTGGGTTTTGGTCATCCGCACTCATGGATGAGGTCTCCGTTGAGGTCTGTGAGGACCAGGCTCCATGGGGAGGGGGCTGGTAAATCACTTCTCTGCGGGCTACACCAGGCAGTGCGTCTTCCCTCTTATTAGGCCCCAAAAGATTGTACATTTGGGCATCCGAGGCACTGTCATACCCACTCATTTCTGAAGTCTCTGCTCCCTCTGGTGAGGCTCGAGCAGCCTTGCCAGGTGAATTGCTGGGACTGCGTCGTTTTGGTTTGCGTTGCCTCTCATGAGCAGCCACGTCTGCATCACTGTCCGTTTCTCCGTAGTAGGCTTCACTGCCCGGCGGGGAGGTCAGTCCACTGCGTCCGGTCGGGGACATCAGGGGTTCACGGTGTATCTGCCGCACACTGGACTGGTGAGGTCGGGAGCTGGATGGTGACATGGCCCTAAGGGCAGCACGGTACTCTTTATCAATGCGGGGAGAAGGAGCTCGAGCAACAAGAACCACCGACTGGAAGCCAGCCGGTGCCCTGATAGACATGTGAGGGGGTAAAATAGCACAGGGGTGGTCAGAAACAATATCTCACAGCAGCCCTGGCTTGGAGGTCTAAATACAGTCAATACAATTATTTACTTTCAGCTCCCATTTGAGTTAAACAAACAGATAAGCATTGGCAAAGTAAAAGATGGTTTACCTCCTAACTCGGATGTGTAGCGTTCCTGGCATGCAGTCGATCAGGTTCATGACCTGTGCGTGCGACAGACTCCCACAGGAATTCTCATTGATGGACACCAGCTCATCTCCCTCACGTAGTCCGGCCCGACATGCTTTACTTCGCTTACGCACCTACAGGATAAATGTAAGTTGATAATGTATGAATAGGTCGAATTTGAAATGACCTTGGATATTTAACATAGAAAAGGCAAAGACTAGGTATTGATATAACATTTCAAATTCTTACCATCTTTAAAAAGTAGACCTGCAAGGAATCATAACGAGTGACATGAATTTGGTCATACGCATTTACAAAGTTCATAATTAGTGTCTCCAATTCACCTATCCTGTGTTTGAATTGTAAGGGAAACCAAAGCGTACACATCAACATTGGGAAAACATGCAAACTCCACATCGAAAGGCCTCCTGACACAGCCGGGACTTGAACCAAGGACCATCTTGATGTGAGGCAACAGTGCTACACACTGAGCCATTATGTCACCCATAAATGCAATACAAAATACATTTCGAAATAAAAAATATAGTTCTGAAACAATCAAAATGTCTCTAAGTGAGATGAGCCAGCAAAAAACGTGCAACATTGTTCATAATACTGTTTTTTTATTTCAGATAATTTTATCTTAATATTTACAGTATGAATGATGTCTAAATAGAATGAAAACGACACAGTAGGCTGGCATAAACAGTTAACAGACACTCCCTATGTGCCTGTGTGTTAGTTTTGTTTCTCAATTGGACCTTCAATGCCATTGCTCCAACTCCTGTCCTGTCTGTCATCTTATTAAGCACAGGACGATAGGCTCTGATTTCAGTGGTGTTCACAGTGACAGGTTGCACGTATTTTGAAGCTGCAATAATCAATCTATATATACTTATAATTATACTTTAAATAAGAACAGTGTAATGTGTTAATGACATTTTACATTCTCTGATCTTTAATACTGTGAAAGCTCCTGAATCAATATACCTGACTGTTAAAGCTAGGGTAGGCAATGTTTTTCATAAACACTTTTTTAATACTGGTTGAAATGCTCTTCATATCCTGATAGCAATCTATAATAGAAGTGGTCTAAATATTTAAAAATGTACTTCTTCTGTGGAAGTCTCAGGACCAAATAATGTTTTTTTTTTTCAAATATTCGGTCCGAATGCAATGATATGTCAAACAACGAATGTATTTGCATACCTTCGCGCACTCTGGTCATGCAGACTTCACACGTCATCAGCGTGTTCCATGAGTCTATGGCTAGCTGATGGCTAGTTGTACTGTCTATGGTTGTAGACAGAGGCTGAATCCGAATTCTCCCCACCTCAAATAGGCATTATTTGAGGGGGCAGCCATTTGTAGTGGTGTCCAAAACTATAGTGGACGTTATCGAGAGCACTCATTCTTTTCCCGCATTTCACTGCAATAACGAGTGTACGGCCGATGTAGGCCTACACTCAACGGCTGTCCGAATTTACTCCTTCAAGTAAACTGTATTAGTGGACTAACGTAGGGAATAATGATTGAGGATTTAAAGGGTGATTTCGGATTCAGACAGACAGTCGTGTGCCGCAAACAAACAGCACCACCTTTTACAGTTATGTTTTAACCCTCTGGGCTTCTTCGCAAATGGGTTACACTTAGCTTCCTCCCGGTCAAAAACGGACGAAGCCTTAAAATGTAACTTTATTTTTTCCCAGGATAACCAATCAAATATATTTTTGTTCTATAATATTTTCTGATTATTATTTAGAATTTTTAGAGTTTTTTATGATACTTTGCATTAATTATATAATTTTTATGAGCTATTTTTTCCATTAGAATTAATATATAATTTTTTTTTTAATAAATGCAACATTTTACATAAAAATAGAGTCTAGGCCTTCAAAAAAAAAAAAATTCAAGTGAGAAGAGCGCCATCTAGTGGCTTTAAAAATATATAAATGTGTCATGTCCTGTAACCGCCTGTAGGCTCCCATAGCATATAAATACATAGAAATGCTTTTTGATTCCTATTGTTGTTTTAGACATGATTTCTCTATCTTATTCGTTTTTTTTTTATTTAGATATACATTTAGATATTTTAAAAGACTACTTAATTTTTTTAACACAATTTTTTAGATAAGTATCAGGTTTTGCATTATGATTACAATCAAACTAGCATTTGGTTAGAAAGGGAACACAATGCAAACATTTTTGTTACTCAGTATTTGATCATTCAAATAATTGAACAAAATAAGGGATGGTTAGTGATAATTCAAAACACTTTATACAGACATTTTCAATAAATTGGTATTTTTTATTAATTTTAATTCATTAATTTGCATATTCTATAAATTTGCTGTTGCAGTCTTGCCTTATCTCTCTCTATCTCTGTGTGTGTTTGTGTGTGTGTGTGTGTGCGCGTGCATTTGAGCGAGATTTTTTTTCATTTATTGATTTTATTTTGCATATTCTAAAAATTTTCTGTTGCAGTCTTGCCAGTTTATCTGTGTATGTGTGTGTGTGTTTGTGTGTGCGTGGGTGTGTGTGTGTGTGTGTGTGTGTGTGGGGGGGGGGGGGTCTTATTTGCACTCTTGATGTTTTAGAGTGTCACCCCTTCATTGCTGAACACTTTTTTTCTGCACAGTGGCTGATCTGTAGCTTGTACCACCAAAAGTTTCTCTGAGTTTTCCTATTTTTTCGTCGGTCATTTTTGACCGGGAGGAAGCTAAGTGTGACTATTTTTTTTACGACCCTTTAACATATCAGAATCATCTCCTTGATTTTTTTGTGTGTTCATATAGGTAATACAACAAAAGTCACCAAGTTTCATCCCCATCCGATGAAGCAAAAAAATTTAACAATTCAAAACTTAAAAGTTTACGGACGAAACTTTTAAAAAAACTTTTAAAAAAAACGGACGAAGAAGCCCAGAGTTAACCAAAACAACAAGCTTTTGCTGTGTTCACGCCATGTCATAATTTCAGTAATTCAGAAACGGCAACCCATCACGTTGTATTCGGAGCTGTTCATGACCGACTTGGATTTATGTGTTTGGAGGCGGCGGGGCTTTGGAGACGCTCTAATGCTTTCAAAGTTAGCTTTCTATTACTGGCGTCTCTGAAATTGCCTATACCTCAGCTTTAACGGAACATTTTATAGTAGCCTATGTGTGCTCCTTTGGCCATTGATTGAGCAAAACAGACTAAAGCAACATGGAATATGGGTCAGTGATCTGGTTTTCCATTTCGGATCCTTGTCCTGTTGCCTGTGGTTTTTGTAAATGCAGAGGTACAGGTTCAGGACCTAGTGGTGAACTGGATCTGTAAACTGCCCTGTCTAAACTGCATCCATACCATTAGTTTAATCTAATTCCCTTTTGATGACAAGCAGCTACCAATAAAAAAACAATACTTCTCATGATAGCCCAGATTAATGGATACATAAAACTACCATAAACGGATAACATTATTATACAGATAGACAGAAAATAGTCCATTAGCACTGTTGTTACTCCTGGCCTGAATGATCAGATTCGGTATCATATTAAACTAAAATACAAAATCATGGCCATTTTTATTTCCTATACAATTACAAACATCTATGACATCAGCATGACCATCAAACAGAATAGCTGCTTTATGATTACTTGGTAAATACATTATATACAGGACATTGTATCCTTTAAAAAGAAAACAAAGTCTCCTGGAATTGGAAGAAAGTAGACTAATTTCTTTGAGAGATGACAAGCATGGTGTGGCGTGGGACCAAATTAGATTTAATTAGGGCAAATTTTATTAAATATGACCGGAATCCTGAAAGCCTGAGGACGGTCGTGAACTAAAACAGTGTGCGAGAGTATAAAGTTCAACATCCTTATTCACTAACAATATAATGTATAATCTGCTATCTACTAAGTAATTACAAAATAACAGCAGAACTCAACATCACAAGATTAATACATGTACTATAGAAACACTTGACACAGTAGCTTCTCATACAGTCATAAATTGCATATCAAATATTTCAGCTAATTATCATTCTACATATGAAGATTTATTCTACAAGCTTGGCTTGTTACTAGTAATATACCCTTGAATTATAGCTAAATTTACAGTTAGTGCACATTCTATTTAGGACTCAAAATGTTAAGGAGTTTGTCTGCAGTTCAGATAGTACTTGCAAGTTCACAGCTCTATGAATCATTTTGCTTTTTTGGTAAAGGATCAGTTCCACACCACACTTGGAGTGCAGGGGCCTGCGCTTCTGGTGTCCATTACATCTTAAGGCTGCTTTAAACATCTTAAGTTTCTTTAGAACTGAATAATTGTAGAAAGACATAACGTCCACCCCCCAGTTTCACAGCCTATCCCAGATGTTTGAGCTGTTTTAACTGAAAGCAACTTGCACTGACATATCTTAAAATGTCACTGTCAATGTTTTGTCTCAAGATGCACACCAGTAACGTTTTTTTCTACGGCACGTTTATTAAAGCTACTTAAATAATGTCCTAATTTAACTAACTAACCCTGGCTTCGTCTAAGCCCTGTCTGTGAAACCAGGCCTAAAAGTCTTAAAGTGATGTATAGTGCACCCATTTTAAGTTCATTTTATTCTGATGTTTCCAGCAATCATTACCTTGGCGACCTGCAGAGGTTTCTGGTGCTCGATTCCTCCCTGTAGTCGGAAGCCCCATGGTGCTCCTCCGGATAGGGTGATGATAACCTCCTCAGCCACCATGGTGCGGTCTGTGCTTGCGTCTATGGTTCAGTTTGTTGGCCTGGGGGGCCCTCAGTTCACACGGTCCATGTTATTACAGGGCCCCCTCAGAGAAGACAACTACTACTGCAACTATGTCCTTCTAGTAGCCCACCTGAGCTGAGTGTGTCACACGAATACACACAGATCCCCTCCCACACCCTGAGCTGGAGATAGGGGCGCAGCCATAAAGGAAGTTAAAATAGAGAGGGAAAGAGAAGAGATACCCACCGTCTCCCTATGAAGTGGAATCTCGTGTTGGATGAAGGTAGGAACTAGTTCATCACAGCTGTGCTGTCACTCAGAGCTGGCGGGATATAAAAATAGCCCTTTGCCTCTCTTGCAAAGCGGACAAGCTTTTTGCCGACTTTAGAATAGCAACACGTTGATTTGAGTCTGAAATTGAAATAAATGATGTATTCAAACTATCATTGAAAAATGTCTTATAATCTAACCTTTGTTTTTTTTTATAAAGGGTGGTCAAGGAATTAGACCGCTGTCAGTTGAGTTTGTGGTTATTCTTTAGGGGTTATATTATAACATCAGGACCTTCTAACTTTGTGGCATGGAACAGTGTGTTTTATCATTGAATCTGTACACACACTGACAGCAGACCTGTTCTCTTGGCGGACAAACTGGGACACTTGGCCAATCAATCTTTCTTTAGACAAGCACGCACACCTGACCTCAGTGGGAAATTAAAAAAGACTTGGTGACAATTTATTTCCACATACATGAGTAAGACTTTGATATAAAAAAAAAATAATAATAATAAAAAAAAAAATAATAATAATTAACAGGGATGCATTAAATTGATCAAAGGTGTCAAAGACTTTTACATTGTTATAAAAGATTTCATTTAGAAATAAATGTCCTTTCTATTCATCAAAAAACTGAGCAGCAAATCAGCATATTAGAATGATTTCTGAAGGATCATGTGACACTGAAGACTGGAGTAATGATGATGAAAATGCAGCTGTCATCACAAGAATAAATGACATGTTAAAATATATTCAAATAGAAAACTTTTACGGTTTTTAGAAACAGCACATGAAATGTTACTATAGCAATGTGCCGGTTAATCCAACATAACACAAACATAAAGAAAGATTAAATAATAACATACCACTTTTCCCCCTTCTTATTTGTATTTGACCACATGAAGCCATTGCACATTTTAACAGAATAAAAAATAAAATAAAAAATAGAACATACAAGTTCTGCCATACTTAGCCAACAAATAAGACACGCCCCCTCTTCCTACGACCCCAGTTTTAAGTGATATCTGTCAGGGAGTAAGATCATTTTAGAAACTTGCCTGAATAACAACACATCTGGTTTAAAGGTGCAGACATTTACCTCTAGGGTCCCCTTGAGTCAGAGCAAAACTCTGTGAGGGGGCCCCCATCAATCCATTCATAAAAAGACTACCCCCTAATCTGTTCTTTCAGAGCAGTTTTGCTGTCGAAAAAACAACATGGACGGATTTCAATAAACATTAGTATTTATTACAATGGTATTCAGTAGCTATAAATTGGTGGTATATATACCATAATATGGTACTGAAGGTGCACTGCCAAAATTCTATAATAGAAGTAAGGAAATAAAAATTAAATAAATAAATAAACTAAAAATAGAATTAATTAAATAACAAGTCTAAATAAAGACTGAAAGACCAACAACAACAAAAAAACATTAAACTGACAGTAAGAACACTGAATCCAAATTTTGGTTGACCGCTATATAAATGCTTTCTGAAAGTAACTGTGCACTGGAACCATGTAGCTGTCAGAAAAAGTATAACAGAGCTGAAATGTGTTTCCAAATGTGTGATTTACTATCAAAACTAAATAATAATATAGTTTCTCTAAATACAGAATGCAAACTTTAGCCCAATTGGCTTTTTTTTAAAGCACTGACGTCATAGGACAACTTGTATGACTGAACAGAAATGAGTTTATTTCTAAGAACGTTTTGATTCTTGATGTGTACTGACGCAAACTGAAATTTAATTTCATCATGGGGCATTTCTAACAAAACACAATAGACCAATACTGAATCTGGAGGTCCGGACAAGCCATAGCCATCCGTTAAGATGTATGTCATGTTATTGCCTGCCGCACTGAGTCCAAAACGGTAATTAAATAAATACAAATCATTAAGTAGTAAGGTATATAGCAAAATGTGTCCACATGACTCCTCTTAAGTTTAATCCACATTTGGATAATACAACATTTTTATTTACACTAAATGACATATTTACACTATCTTTGAGAGCCCCTGGTGGTTCGGGGGCCCTACGTAACTTGCGTGTAACAGACACCGCCTTGAGTACTTTGTCTTGTCCTCGTGTAATCAGGTAAGCTTCAATTGCAAGCTGAGCAGGAGAGAAAGACAGTGATGTTGAGATGATCTTTTATTAAATGCTTCCAAATGTTTCAACAATAACAAAGCTATGATGGTTTAACAACATTCAAACAAACACTTGATAGATTTAAATTCATAGTTTTATTAATTGTATGGTCATGCAAAAAAATCCAGCATCCAATTAAACCTCAGAGTATAATCATATGTAGTCCCATCATATATGGTTACAATGCAAAAAACAAACAAAAAAACTGACAAGAATGGGGCAACATACCAAGCTAAAGCTTTGTTAATCTCTTTTAGTCCATTTCTTTAAAAAATGAGCATTTTAGCATTGGAAACCATATCTCAGAGCCACATGTCATTTACCTTGAAGATGCAGGTAATACACACATATTTCAAATTTAGGTAACACAGACAGTGAAAATTATTACAAGAAAGTTACACATGCATATTTTCCTTCTGCTGAACTGCATATATGGTTTGGTTGTGAGTTATTTAGTTCAGGAATCATTCACTTATCATACAAAGGCGTTTGTGTCCATCTAACAGTCATAAAAAATACAAGAACTATAATCTCCTGCATCTGGAAACAACTCTTAACCATTTACATTTTTTATGGAAGTTTAACAGACTAAACTGCTCTTTTTTCATATCTGAGAGGACACACTGAGTGGAGGAAGTGGCCAGGCAGAGACTAGGACTGATCACACTGTTAGAACACACACTGCAGCAGAGAGCGCTGGATGAAGGTATGGCAGACATCACAGTGCCAGACGGTTTCATCTGTGGACAAGTGAACTCACTAACAAGATGCCGTAGGGCAGGAGTACTCTCTTTCCTCCCTTTTTTTCCACATATAAACTTGGGTGCAACATTTGCCCAACTTTAAAAGGTAATGTGTCACAAGAAATGGCTTAGCACAGAGTAAAGGGGGGAACGGCAAGTCCCCTAGGCATCACAATTCACACACAGGATTCTACATAATAACACAGTCAAGAACAGTGTTCCAATGTATGACAGTCACACAGATCAAATTTAAAGGGAGCACAATGTGTCCATGTGCTTTAACCGACATTTTTTAACTACGCATGTTTACTGAAAGTCGGATGAAGACGACTGGCTAAGAGTTCGAATCATCCCTCATCAATAATCGGCACTAGTATTTACAGGTTACACTGAAAAACATAAAACAAGAAAAATCCACGTCCCCCTGCCACAAATTGGCCCCCAAAACACCCTGGAACTGCATTCATCAAGTCATTTTCATTCAATAACCAGCCTGTGGATGCTCAGGTGATCACTGTTTTACCAAAACCACACTCAAGTCACTATATATGATGATGAGACATAATCAGAACAAGTGTACAGACACTCACGGAGGGGTAATGTGACAGTTTGGGTCTTCTTCTAAAGCGTGGACCCCTATGGATGGATTTCATAACCTGAAGTTGCAAAGCAGTCCACAAAAAAGTGAACAGAACAGCATAGAGTCTCAAGCTTGTGTGCAAAACAGTACAGGCCATTTCATTTTTTTTTTTCATTTTTTGACATGCTTATAGTCTACAAAATGATATGCACGCAGCTGGAAGCCTAAAAGAGTGAGCAGAGTAACCGTGAGCATGTTTGTGTGTAGTGTTTAGCGCCCCCTGGGGACCAAGAGACATACAACAAACTTGAATCAAAGTAAGTGGGAGTTCTGCAACTTCAGGTTCAGAGAGCCAGGAGGTTAGGGGTGCAAACATACATGAAGGCAAGTAAACCAACCCAACTTGAGTTTAGGCCTCACGTGGAAGTGTGTGGAAAGAAGATCTACGCAAAACACTACATAGCAACGAGCATCTTGAACCCAAGAAAGAACATTTATACTTACACAAACACACACATCTCCTCACCCTTTTCCCCCAGACACCACAGACTGTTTTGTCCTTTCTCGTTATAAATATCTATTTCTGCACAACTATATTAAATCCTGTCCCAATTTAAAACATTTGTCTTGAAAACACAAAATACTTTCAAATACAGCATCATTCAGGAGATTAAAAACCAAGAGTTCCACAAAAACACGACAGAAAGCCAGAAAGAAAATCTTCCCCAACCCCATTCTCCCCTTTTAATAAAAAATAAAAGCAACATTAAAACATCCTCTTCTCAAAGTCTAAGAGTCTACACTTTGGTGCGTCAACGTCTGATAAAATTTTTCGTTCCCTCTGATATGCCATGCCATCACATTCTATGCGTAAAAAAAGAGGACATAACAGAAAAACGTAATAAACTCACACCATTTACCCTTAAAACGGCGTGTGCTTTTCAAAAAATTCACATTTCTGGTTCTAACTTCCATCTCTACCAGCTGTTAATTACACATGTGAAGATCTCAATATTTTACAATATATTATTAATACTTTAAACACCTTTTCCGAATGTTGGGCAGCAGAGATTATGGTTACAGACAATACAGCGCCCCGTGTGGGCATTAGAAGCATGCAGCATCCAGAAGGCAGGGCTGCTGCCGTGGCCGCCCGCCACACATCTAGCTAGAGTTGGACTAAAGTGGTGGCCACTTTTAAATATATTTCTTAGTTGTGTAAATTTTTTCCCTCACGTTTTCGAAACTTCAAGAGGTTCTCTTCTGGCCGGGCTCCAGGCGGCAAGACGTGCACGGAGAAGAAATGCTCCAATCAGCTTTAGTATTCAGGCATGCTAAGGGAGAGAATATGAAGAATACTAAATCATATTTCACTTGTTGTGACACCAAGATGTCTGTCAATCAGTATATACCTTTGCCCTGTGTGGTTCACTGTAGAGGTGCGGCAGGCGCTCCGGAGCAGTGGAAATGGATGTTGAGCCACTTGGCATCTCTGCGGTGCCACACACGCGTCTCCTCAGACTGGCTGCTGCGTGGCTGACCCTGGCTGTCGATGTACTGCGTCAGTCGGATATAAGCGATGCAGGCGGCATCCTCTCCGATCAGGTGCACGTGAGGATTCAGGATGGTTGTGTGCACAGGCTTACTGTTCTTACTCAGCACTGTAGTCAAACACAGGCAGAAGACAAAGGTGCCATTCAACTCAAGTGAATTTGCTTACAAATACAACAAACTTAAACAGCTTTATTGCACTTTAGCACATAAAAAAGCACGAGGCCTACAATTCTCAAAGTAGAACTTATGGAAGTCCATTCCCTCGACCAGGTTTCCAAGTGCCTCAGGCTCAAAAGAGGTCAGGCCAGGGTCACAGATTCTCCTGGAACAGTAAAGGTTACAGAGATGACAATGCAAAACACTTTTCAATTTTGACTGTAGGGCTTTATGTGCTTTCAATACCTGCGAGTCTGAATATCAATGAAGATACCATAATACAATACAATAATTGTTCCCTTCCTTTCATCATCATAAAACATTGACAAAAATACGGCAACTTTTTTTTGTTTAACTTTACCTTTAAAAAAAAAATATATATATATACAGGTCCTTCTCAAAAAATTAGCATATTGTGATAAAGTTCATTATTTTCCATAATGTAATGATAAAAATTAAACGTTCATATATTTTAGATTCATTGCACACCAACTGAAATATTTCAGGTCTTTTATTGTTTTAATACTGATGATTTTGGCATACAGCTCATGAAAACCCAAAATTCCTGTCTCAAAAAAATTAGCATATTTCATCCGACCAATAAAATAAGTGTTTTTAATACAAAAAAAAAAGTCAACCTTCAAATAATTATGTTCAGTTATGCACTCAATAGTCAATACTTGGTCGGGAATCCTTTTGCAGAAATGACTGCTTCAATGCGGCGTGGCATGGAGCAATCAGCCTGTGGCACTGCTGAGGTGTTATGGAGGCCCAGGATGCTTCGATAGCGGCCTTAAGCTCATCCAGAGTGCTGGGTCTTGCGTCTCTCAACTTTCTCTTCACAATATCCCACAGATTCTCTATGGGGTTCAGGTCAGGAGAGTTGGCAGGTCAATTGAGCACAGTAATACCATGGTCAGTAAACCATTTAACAGTGGTTTTGGCACTGTGAGCAGGTGCCAGGTCGTGCTGAAAAATGAAATCTTCATCTCCATAAAGCTTTTCAGCAGATGGAAGCATGAAGTGCTCCAAAATCTCCTGATAGCTAGCTGCATTGACCCTGCCCTTGATAAAACACAGTGCACCAACACCAGCAGCTGACATGGCACCCCAGACCATCACTGACTGTGGGTACTTGACACTGGACTTCAGGCATTTTGGCATTTCCTTCTCCCCAGTCTTCCTCCAGATTCTGGCACCTTGATTTCCGAATGACATGCAAAACTGAGCAACAGTCCAGTGCTGCTTCTCTGTAGCCCAGGTCAGGCGCTTCTGCCACTGTTTCTGGTTCAAAAGTGGCTTGACCTGGGGAATGCGGCACCTGAAGCCCATTTCCTGCACACACCTGTGCACGGTGGCTCTGGATGTTTCTACTCCAGACTCAGTCCACTGCTTCCGCAGGTCCCCCAAGGTCTGGAATCGGTCCTTCTCCACAATCTTCCTTAGGGTCCGGTCACCTCTTCTCGTTGTGCAGCGTTTTTTGCCACACTTTTTCCTTCCCAAAGACTTCCCACTGAGGTGCCTTGATACAGCACTCTGGGAACAGCCTATTTGTTCAGAAATTTCTTTCTGTCTTAGACTCTTGCTTGAGGGTGTCAATGATGGCCTTCTGGACAGCAGTCAGGTCGGCAGTCTTACCCATGATTGCGGTTTTGAGTAATGAAACAGGCTGGGAGTTTTTAAAAGCCTCAGGAATCTTTTGCAGGTGTTTAGAGTTAATTAGTTGATTCAGATGATTAGGTTAATAGCTCGTTTAGAGACCCTTTTCATGATATGCTCATTTTTTGAGACAGGAATTTGGGGTTTTCATGAGCTGTATGCCAAAATCATCAGTATTAAAACAATAAAAGACCTGAAATATTTCAGTTGGTGTGCAATGAATCTAAATATATGAAAGTTTAATTTGTATCATTACATTATGGAAAATAATGAACTATCACAATATGCTAATTTTTTGAGAAGGACCTGTATATATGTATATGCAAATTGGCATAATCGTATTTAACATGCACACATTTGCAAAATATTACAAAAGTTAAACATATTCTACAGAAAATGATTGAGGTTGTTTATTTAAACAAAATATTCCATAAAATGTTTCATTCATTTTTTAATTAAACACACTAGTGCTTTTTAAGATATCCATATTTTGTCACGCTCTCCCGCCACACATTGTATTTCTCACGCTGAAAAACTATTTGTAATATATTTAATATGCCGCAGCGCCCAAAACTCTGGCCGCGCCACTCTCACTGTGGAACCGGCATGAATCAAGCGCGTTTCCTCTGGTGTTGTTCGTCGAGCTAGACAATAGCCAATCAGAAAATAGCACTATTGTATCTGGGTAAGATTTAACGCAACAACCAATGACAATGTATCCAACCCCCCCCCCCCCCCCCCCCTCTTGTCACTCTTACCTGTCTTCAAAACTTGAGAGCCCTGAATATAAGATATTCTATTTTCTATATGCGCAACATTAACATTTTGTTGGCTGTTTTTTGGGTGAAAATTTACCAACAAAAATGATCACAATCCATAAAATGCTCACAATGTTTAATCAGTGATATATGAAAACAGCGCATAAACAGTACTTACGTGTAAGCTTCAAAATCTCCGTTGTTGATGGCCTCAATCAGCTGCTCCGTGATTTTAATGATCTCCTGCTTTCGTGCTGGTGTTTGGAGAGACAGGAGGAAGCACAAGGACACAATCAAGGTTTAGCCACATCCATTATTTGAAAACTGCAAACCAACGTTATGCTCCTAGCAGCCCCACAAACCTCATTCAGCCCATGATTCAACAGGAAACTGCCTTTCAGTATCTACCCAAGCATCCTGATTTTAGCACAAGCAGAGGTCTTCAATGACTTGTATTCAATGATTATTAAACGCTTATGATTTCAACCAGCTCAGTAACCATAATCCAACCATAAAGTACAAACAGTTCACACTCGCATGAGCTCATAATTCCTGCGGATGGATGTGTTTCGCTAGAGGACTGTAATAGTGTGATGAATTGCAGGGACTTTTGTAAAACCAGAGGGAATGTCAGGATGTCTATTTAGAAAACATCAAATTCACCATATCTCTGTCACTAAATCAACAGTCTAAGACTTACACTGCCGCCTGTGCACGCTGCTGCCCCCTGGTGTTGTGGAGGCTGGAGCAGGTACAGCAGGCTCTAAATCAGGACAGGAGCTCTGACCTGAACTGCTCCAAGCAACATTCTTAACATCATGTGGTGGTTCGGCTGCAAGACAACGGGACACATAAACAAAACTGCAACTATGCCACAGCAAAACAAAAGTCTGACAAACACAGTGAGCACTAAACAGAGACAGGCTGTGTTCGGAATAGTATACTACTCTACTACTATAGTTGCATGTATCCTGTGCACAATATGCACATTTTCTGTATGCAGAGCTGAATGACCAGTTACACTTGACAAAACATGCAGTATTAAACAGAAATGACCGTGAAATACTACATCCCACAATGTATTGGGCTCAAATTCACCTTCTGTTTCTACTGTGATAAGAAATTTTATTGACTTAATTTTTACCATCCATTTCTTCGCAAAATGTCTACAAAAATGACACATTTTTATACCAAGTATTTATAATTTTATACTTAATTGGCTTTATGCCACAGCTTCACTACTTCCTGAACGTCAGCCAGCCCTTTGTTTCCTGTCTGTCATTATTGGACAAACTGATTAATCCAGGTGTGCCTGGCCTCAGTAACAATAATCAGGCACACCTGGATTAATCAGTTTGTCCAATAATGACAGACAGGAAACAAAGGGCTGGCTTACGTTCAGGAAGTTGTGAAGCTGTGCATAAAGCCTATTGTATTTTATTTCCATTAAAAAAAAAAAAAAAAAAAAATTAATAGTAGGCATTATACAGTGTATCCTGTGTAATACTAGTTAGTAGTACAATAGTATTCTATTCCAATCATAGACACAGTCACTTATTCATCTAGATCAGTGGTTCTCAACCAGGGGACCGGGGCCCACAAAGAGGCCTCAGTAAATTTCCAGGGGAGATTCAGGTTGAGTTCATACTTTTAAGTCATTGTGTGTGCATTAAGAATTAAAAATAAATGATTAAATTATTATTATATTAAAATAATCAAAGACTTAATCTAAATTAAAAATCTAGAAAAACAAAATCAAGATGTAATAACTGTATACTGTTTTTTGCAGAGTTAATAAAAAGTTTGAAAACAATCAGCTTTGTCATACAACAGAAATACCTTATATATCCTATAATGTGGGGGAAAGGGGGTTGAATATTGTTAGAGAGCCCAAAAGGCTGAGAACCGCTGATTATATTGCATGCTTCATAAAACATCAAGCTACTGCAAACCATGCTTAAACCACTGCATGTCACACAGAAAACACTGCAGAAATAAATGCAGTAATTAGATTATAACCGAATTAGAATATTGAACATTAAATACACAATAGCAGACGTGACACATATGTATGAAAATGATTTAGAGGATTACAGCATGTTCAAGCAACTGCAACAGAAAGCTGGCAGTGCTTGTTTAAACAGTCCAGCAGATGGTGGCAGATCTCAAGGGTTTTTTTTTTTCTTCTTTTTTTTTTAAACAAAGACCTGCAGCAGTCTGCTTCAGTGGTTTGAGCAGTCGCTGAACTCAACATGCAGCCAAGAAAGAGCAGAGATGTATAGGCAAGACGGCCTGTGTTATGACGGTGGCAGTAATCTATATACTGAACTGGCATAAGCGGTAGGAGTAAGTGAAGAACACAAGAGGAGTAATGGCCATACTCAGTAGATCTAGTCACAGTGTGTGCATGTGTTGAGAGATGTCTGGCGTGTGTACAGTCTCAGCACGGGCCCTCTGCTCATCTGTCACACTCAAAGTATTCAGTGTCACAGATAAATAAATGAAAAGGTCACTCTGACTGAGAAGGTCAGTGCAATTCTTTCCATGTCAGAGGTGAGGACGTACATGAGTAAAAGGGCAAAGATGGTGGACTGCGAGAGACTCCAAATCAGGTAAAGTGACAATCTCAGTCCTTGATTGCTGTGCGGAGTACAGTAGATTATGTGGCGTGCATTTTGTTGCAATGACTCACGAAAGCCGTAAAAATGCCATATTATTGTCTCAAAGGGGTCATATCATAAGGAATCAAATGTTCCCTGAGCTTTTGAGATAAACTACAAAAACACTCCAAAACATTCATTTGAACTCCTCAGTACAAAAAGAGAATTTACTGAAACTAAATAGTAAATATGACTCAATCTAAACAACCACAAATTTCTGACATCACACTTTAACACAGTATTCACATCAGAAAAACGAGCAATATAAAAAACATCTGACATCTGAGTATCTTAAGGTTATTTTTACCAAACGGATCATTTCAATATGACCGTAACTGTTTATGCATCACATTTAATCAATAAAACTGTTGCCTATAATGATAAATCAATAATAAAATTAAAATGTATGATATGACCTTTCATATTGACACCAAAATACAAGATTAGGGCATTTAACAATGTAGATGTCCAGTGAGTCCATCTCAGCCAGATATATTAGAGTAACATATTAAGTAATGACAAGCTTAGAAAGGTGAAATACTCTAGGTTAGCAGTGGGAGCAGTGGAAACGGAGAGAATGTGAGGTAGAGATCAGATGAGTCCAAGAGGGAGTTGTAGGAGCCGCTGATAAGGTCACTGCTGTAGCAGTTGACTTACTGGGTAGTGGGCAGGGGGGAGAAGCCTCGGTCTGAGGAGCTGGCTCATCGGAGCCACTGCATTGGCTGACCACTGCACTGTCATTGCTAGCCCCGCCCACCGATACTGACACAGACAATTCAGGGGAAAAATGTAACATTTGTTGTGGTAAGTTATACCACAAGGCACAAACCTTTTTCCAGCTTGCCTTTTGTGCTGACACAATTTGCATGATACTCGTCCAAAAATATCAACAGCACACACTACACAAAAAACACTCATGCTAAGACACAATGTGCATGCAACTTAAGAGCAGAAAATAAAATAAACGTAATGTTATGTAGAAACAACAACAACAACAACAAAAAAACAACTAAATAAGCAATATTTTTTTCTAAAAGTCTGTTTTAGAAAAAGCTAAAATACTTCTCTGTCGGGGACATTTTTGCACCCTAGGATAGAATGTGATATCTTTGGGCCTTTCTGCTATGACGCAAGTGGATCATTTCTAAGGTTTAACCCTCAGAGACTTACTGTTGGAAGACCTGCAATGGTTATTTAAATAAAATATCTTCGGGATAAAACTAGGTAAAACATCATGATGACAAGAGGGATTCATTTGATTGATTAAATTTTTTTAATATTATTTTACAATATTATGATTTTTACTTAATTTAAAATAGCTTTTTCCTACTTTAATATATTTTAAAATGTAACATTTGAAGTGGATCAAAACCTTTCATCAAAGTTATACATGAATGTTGAACAATACCCGTTGACAACTTTGATCAACTTTTTTAATCAACTTCAAATGTTGACTACTGTATTATCAATGCTGAAAATAGTTTTTAGTTTTTTCAGGATTCTTAGATAAATTTACAGGTCAAATAGAACAGCATTTATTTAAAATAGAAATATTTTGTAACATTATAACGGTTTTATCCTTGCTGAATAAAAGTATTAAAAAAACTTTTGAAAAGTGGTGTATATCAATATCTGTGCTTAGGTCTCTGAGGGTTAAATCTCAGTATATTGACTATTGAGCGTACCTGACCATCAAGCTTAGATTATTAGTGTCAAGCTAGGAATGATCCTGAAGCTCTACTGACTCATTAAACCTCTGCTTGTGTTTCCCAGATTGAATAGAAATTATTAAGGTATCTTATTATCTAACAGCCCTCAAAAAGCAATATAGAAGCTCAGAATTTATCAAAAAGGCCAATCAGATGATGAATGGTGCCATGATTATATGTAATTGAGTTAAACCCATTGTGCAATATTGCTGTGTGGTAATAAACCACCATGTGACTGCTAGACAACATACTGAGATGTGATATGGAGGCTCAGTAAATCTCAGAAGCGGTATTTGTTGCCAGTAAAGGTCACTGCTGTAAAACGAATATTCCCTCAGATATTGTGGACACTCATTATGCGAACACAAGACTTTGTGATTCATCAGTGTCATGGTAACTTTGGCAATCACAGCATGGCTCCTTTTCATAGCAAAGCTTGTGTGCTGATTCATGATAGCAAATCAGTCAGTCTGACCCTGTTTTGGTCCTTTATACTACACAATAGCTGAAGCTGTAGTGAACAGCAATGTATCTAGAGCCGACAAGCTGGCCGTCAACACACGCAAAGCAATTATCATACCATGAAGGTCTTTTCACCACACAGGAATCAATCTCTCACCACCTGTATAATATTTATTCCCTCTGGCCTTCATTAACACTATTTGGGAAAGTGTACAAGCCTTGACCCCATTCACATCTGGTATTAAAGGGTTAGTTCACCCAAAAATGAAAATTCTGTCAGTATTTACTCACCCTCATGTTGTTCCAACCCCGTAAGGCCTTCGTTCATCTTCGGAACACGAATTAAGATATTTTTGATGAAATCTGAAAGCTGGATCACTCCTCCATAATACTCCATAGGCTTCTTCAGGTATTGAACTTGCCCGCCTCGAAAAGTTATTAAAGACATCGTTAAAATAGTCCAAGTGACTACAGTGGCTCAATCTTAAGTTTATCAAGCGACGAGAATACTTTTTGTGCACAAAAACAAACAAAAATAACGACTTTATTTCAACTATTCATGTCCTTCTCTTTGGGCCTCTAGTCAGTTAACGTAGTGTGATTCCATAGAGCTACGTCACACGTAGGCTCACTATTGGCCGACGCTGGTCATGTGCGTGATGCGTGTGACGTACAACAACAGAAGCTTACGCTATTACACTAGTGAACTGACTCGAGGCCCACAGAGAAGGAAATGAATAGTTGAAATAAAGTCGTTATTTTTGTTTTTTTGCACACAAAAAGTATTCTTGTCGCTTGATAAACTTAAGATTGAGCCACTGTAGTCACTTGGACTATTTTAACGATGTCTTTAATAACTTTTCGAGGCCGGCAAGTTCAATCCCTGAAGAAGCCTATGGACTAGTATGGAGGAGTGATCCAGCTCTCAGATTTCATCAAAAATATCTTAATTCGTGTTCCGAAGATGAACGAAGGTCTTACGGGGTTGGAACAACATGAGGGTGAGTAATTACTGACGGGGTTGGAACAACATGAGGGTCAGTAAATACTGACAGAATTTTCATTTTTGGGTGAACTAACCCTTTAATGTCCGTTCAAAGCAATTTGTGATCCTTTTATTGAAACCACATTCAGAGGTAGTCAGAAACACTACATAAAATGCATTCTGATGCGTTCTTGACAATTGTTCTGTTAATATAGAAAACAAAACAAAAAACAAAGCAAATATGATAAACAGAAGGTCAACTGTACTAGCTTGACGCAACAAATATCATTGGTTCATATTTGATGTGCTCTATGTATGCGTGTTGAACAATGATGATATGTAAATAAAAACCTAAATAAAATCTGTTCACCATATTAACCAATCGTGTCTTTTCAGAAGACTTGGATTAAACTTCTTGATTCATATATTTCTTTTACCATCTCTTTACAAAATTTGAATTAAGCACCAAAGTTTTCATATAATGGATTTTCAATGGAGGGACAGAAATTTCTCATGTTTCATTAAAAATCGATTTATTTGTGTTTAGAAGATAAATGAAAGTCTTATGAGCTTGAAACGATGTGAGGGTGAGTAAAGGCAATTCTTAACTATTTTCTGTTTTGGCAAATTGGTGGTAAATTCAAATGAATTTGTACAGTCTCATTCGTACTTTTCTCATAAAACTAAAAGAGTTGTTTTCTCATATGATTGGTTTGGTAAATGATGACAATTTTCACGTTTGGGTGAACTATCCCTTTAAGTACTCTTGAAAAAAATGTTCTTTTATGGATTTAGACAGTCTCAGTTGCTTCTGTTTCTTTATCTAATCCCAGAGCCAGACAAACTCAATGCGGAGCTCAGATCTCTGTGTGGACCATATACCATCTGATGTTCGGACTGCTTGGTCATACAAAAATCTCACTGCATAATAACAATATTTGCAAAAGGAATGTTTGGAAATCTAAAATGGATTTCTCCTACTGACACACTAAATCAAAAGAGACAATAACCATCTTGAAATAAATGTTTTTGTGAAGCATCTTTTGCACAGTACTGCATGTAGTCAGAAAACCAGAGACTGTGCCCACAAAACCTGTGGTCACAGGACAGATCTAAATATCAGGTGTAAACATGGCCATTGATTCTAATGACGCGTTTAAGAAATATTTACATTTTGAATGAACTCAAACACATACACCCTGTTCTGTAGATCCCAGAGAACAAAAGAAAGACATGCAAAATACATGAGGAGTTGATAGTGTACCTTTCTTATCTTTCATGTCCTCCTCTTCTGTGGTGTTACAGCTCTCTGTAGACCCCTGTGATATGAGAGAGAGAGAGAGACAATATGCAAGATGGAGGGGTGGTTATATGAAGGTGGGAAGCCCGAAAAAGAAATACAGAAACAGGTTTGCAGACAGGGTCTATAAACCATGTGGAACAATATATGGTGCACACACTGTAAACCAGCAAACACACACACATAAAGAATCACCCGCAAGCACAGATATACCCCAGCACACCCTCACACACACAGACCCCTGACAGGAACACACCGAGCCCTGCACAAACCAGCCAACCAAGCATGAGGGTAAGACCCATTCCCTTGAGTGATATTTGTGAAGTTTGGGGTTGTGGCTTAGGAAGTAGCTCTAATGACCCGTGTTCAATGGCAGAGCTAAAAGAGGTGGCTTACCTTGATGCCATCGGCTGGATTGTGCACGACAGTGGTCTGTGATTCCTGGGGGAGGCAGGAGAGAGTTTACCATGCGGGGCAGAGGGAAGAGGGTGAGGGGACCCTGACTCTACAACTAGCATGATGTGACTGTACAACTGTCAGGAGCATTGGAGACTTCTGCGTATGTTCCATAAGCTAATAATGCGTATACAAAGGCCCCAACTTCCATAGTATTTTTTTCCATACTATGGAAGTCAATGGCGCCCCACAACTGTTTGGTTACAAACATTCTTCAAAATATCTTCCTTTGTGTTCAGCAGAACAAAGAAATGTATACCAGTTTGAAACAACTTAAGGGTGAATAAATGATGACAGAATTTTCATTTTTAGGTAAACTATCCCTTTTAAAAAAAATGCTACATATAATACAATGACATTAAATTGTGTTTAAGTGTGGGTTAGGTATCCAAATACATTGAGGCCCCTGTATACAATAACTATAATGTTTTGTAAAGAAAGACATTATACAAAGAACTTGAAGTTCAATGGAAATGCATGCAAAGATTGGGTACTTCTAACCACAGAGAGACCGTGGAAAAGAAAGTAGTCAATAGGCTTGAGAAGTCTCTCTCCAAGACCAACCCCAGTCACCAACAGCACACAGACATAACAGAAATGATTAACACTGCACAAACAGTTATCTTTCAATGCCACAGTATGTTATTTCTCCAGAAAACACAAAGCATTGATCCCACCTTTGCACATACACACACCCCACATATAAACAAACAGTCTTGCGCACTAGATCCTACTTTATTTCCACCACCACTAACACAACACCCTCTAATAAGCAACCTGTCAACGCAGACCTGAAGATGCAGTCCCTACGTGCTGAGAACCAGTTACAATTTCACTCCCTTTGATGCATTACTGACTGAGAGAGAAAAAAAACTCATCGCCTGTGAGCCCAAGCAACTTCAAGGTCTGGGCAAACACTAAGAAATACTGAAAATAATACTTAAATAATATAAATTAAATAAAACATTACATATCAATTAAATACTTAGAATTTTTTTCCCTTCACATTTTCTTGCTGATACAATGATCTTCAACTTTTAGACCCCACTGTTCTGTTCTTGTTGACAGAACTGAAGTACCTCTGAAGTAGCACTATGTCCTCTGAAGGCTGTGAACTGGGTAGACCAGCAATTACCCATAATAATAAAAGTTAGGGACTGCATCTTCAGAACAAACAGAGCAGCTCTGCTTCCTGACATAAAATGATCCTTTTTTACCCTTGGAGACTCGACTGTGAGATTAAGAGAAGATGCAACCAGGGATTATCTACATGTTACTAGCCTAAGCAAATGTTCTCTCACTTTAATATGGTTAGATACTGAACAAAAAGAAAAGTTTTTGAAACGGTCTAAAGCACAGGGGTTGTCTGCTAAGCTGTCAAACTTCTCCTGCGAGTTTGTTTGGGTAAAATAGGAAGTCAGAGAGAAATCCACAGGCACAAACCAGATGTTTTAGTTCAACTCATCAAAAACCATGAGTAACGTCACACATCTTCATCTGAGTGGATTGAGCGATGAGTGGTGGAAGTCAAAATAACAGGTATGGGACAAACTGATAAAGCCTTTTACTAAACAAAGACTTAAGAATTAAGAAAAGGAAAGATTATGAATGAAGGAAATAAAAAGTTAAGATGAAGTACCATTGGTGCAGTGGATGATATGCTGCTGTCTTTGGTGCTGCTGCTTACTACACTGTTTTTGCTGTTGTTTGTCTGTGACTGGGGCAAAAAACAAAACAATGACAACACAAAATAAACAGAGCCATTCCAAAAGGGTCCTCGCACCCATCGGTGCTCGGGCCCTAATGATTTCTGTTCAGTGCAGTTCAAGAACTGACAACCTCAGCTCAGTCTAGACATGAAAGGGGATCTGTTTGGGTAAATTAGCTTAGAAATTGGCCTAGAGCACTTTTAATAATACACTTTCATGAAAAAAAAAAGGTTTTACAATTCTTGATAAAAACAAAGATAAAACATGGTGGGCTGTACAAAAAGAGACAGTAAGATTCCTTTACATGGTTATGGTTTATCCTTGATATACAAGTTGGCAGTGTTGTTTTGGAACTGTTCAATTATCCTAAAATATGACTGCAGAAAATAAGTATATTTACAGGGAATAAGTATATTTTGTTGACATTTATTTAATAATATTAATAAATTCAGTATGTGCATGTAAACATCTTTCAAACTTTCATATGGAGAGACATTGTTACAGTGCTGATAAACATGTAAATATACTAATAGAATTTGTACATATTTGAATATATCCATAAAGATGGATACAACGGTAAAAAACAAAAAGCACAAAAACAAATTCAAAGAAAAGTTTCAAGGCTACAGATAAAATATTTGGTATTTACAGAAATATTTAAATATACTATTTTGCTGGCACAGTAACAATTAGAGGCCAATGTTACTGTCAAGGAGTTAAGGGACCCTGATAGGTCACTAGTGCATGCAGTGAAAAGCTTCAGCGAGAAGCGTTTATGCTCAAACCTCGGACTCTGTGAATCAATTCAGGGTACAACTAATGATTCAAAAAGAACAAAGGCTGACTATAGGAAAGAAAGAAGAGAGGCGGCAGTAAAACCGATTCTTGAGAAGAATGTTCAAGAATCCTTACAGAAAGATTAGAACAGGTTACAAACGGATCAAAAATACTGAAGCAGAACAGCAGCCAAAACTTGTTCATCCCAAATATTAAACAGCCATAAAGAGAAAGGAGAGATATATTTTTAAAGAAACTGCTTTATTTATGCATTCAGTCTCACTTAATTGACGGTTATTTTTCAGCATTTTTCAGGAGTGATAGAGGCAGCTAGTTTGCAAGTGACCCGACCATATATCATCCCTGAAAAACGCTGAAAAATAACTGTACATTTTCTGTCAATTCATTTGTTTTAGATGCTTATGAAGAAAGAAATACAATCAAAACTTATTTTTTATTGTAATATTTGATGCTAATATTAAAACATATATATATAAATACATTCATATTACATAAAATATTATATTATTGTATTTATTAGGGCTGTCAAGTGATTATTTAAAAAAAAATCTAATTAATTACACGATGTACTGATTAATTAATCAAATTAATCCCACATCAAATTTGGCTGAGAAATTACTTACAAAAGACCATTTAAAGTCATTATTGTGTTAAATGAGAAAAGCATCAAATAGTCATTACAAAAAGTAGCTTTAGAAAAAAATTGTTTTATTTGATTCAACATAGAATTTATTACACAAACGTTTAGGATTCAATGGCTATGAGGGTAATGATGAGGTAAATGATGACAATTTTCATTTTTGGGTGAAGTAAACCTTTTTAATGGGTTTGTTTTACATTAATATGGAAATAAGATTTTTTTATTTTTTATTAAATGGTACTCTAAATAAACTAAACTAAAACTGCCAGTAGGTGGCGGTTAATGTCTAAATGATTAAGTCATCGAGTCATTCATTCGATTCGTTCAAACGGCTGATTCATTCAGGAATAAAGTAAATGGCCCTCTTTATAAATAGGCCATTGCATCATTGGTCCACCCAATTGATTGGCTTAAAATGCGGATTCATTCAGAAACTAAGCACTGCTGTGTGTTGCTCAGAGATGCACAACAGTTCTGCTGTGACGTTACAGGTAATATTTACATTGGCAAAACTGAGCAAACACAGACAATATCGTGTCTAAAATATAACACAATATTAACTTCTTGTTTATTGAACTGTTGTATAAAATCAATATCACATTTGCACTCGTTCGGGGCAAAAAAGCACTTGTGATATTGCTTTAGTATATCATGATATAAATATGAGACAAAAACTCATTCAGGGGAATTTTTGCCCTAATATCCTGAATTTTGGGGGCATTCCAAATGCATTGTATAGGCTACATCACTCAGTGAGTTGTTGGTCTGCTTCATGTTCGTCACCACTCACCTGTATGAAAAGTAAGATGAACTGCGTAGGGCGGGGGCATCAATTTTAACGCGATATTTCCACCCAAAACTAATTAACCCTCTGGGGTTGTTCGGCCCAAATGGACCCGAAGCATTTAAATAATTTTTTTTTTTTTTAAATCATAGCTTTATCGGAATAGTCCGAAATTTGGTGACTTTGTTGGTACTTGGTATAAGAACACCCAACAAAAATTGGGGACAGGATTTGAATAGTCTAAGTGGTTGTAAAAAAAATAGTCACACTCAGGACCTTCGGGTCCAAATGGACCCGCATAGGAAATGAATGTGAAATTGGCAAAAATGTGAAAATACAGAGTTTTTTTGTGCGTACAATCTACAAATCAGCCACAATCCAGAAAAAAGCACACAACAGTGAAGGGGTGAATCTATAAAACATCAAGAGTGCAAAACAGACACATCCACACACACACACACACACACACACACACACACACACAAACACACTTTTATATACATACACACTAATAAATTCAGATTACATATGGGTTTTGAATTTTTAAAATGCTCAGTTTGTCCACCAGATGGCATCCATCTCATTTCAAAAATTGCTTTCATGAGGCCTAGGCTTGACTCTAAAATGAAATACAGCTTTAAAAAAAAAAAAATTCTATTATATTCAATGGGAAAAAAATGGGTCATAATTATTGCATTAATATTAATTATAAATCATTTTTATTTTTGAAATGATCTCAAAACACCAAAAAAGAAAAGAAAAAAAGTATAAAAAAAAAGTAAAAAAAAAAAAGTAAAAAGATTTTTTTTAAAAAAAATGAATCCTGCCCTTTGGGTCCATTTGGACCCGAACACCCCAAGTGTGACTGTTAAACGAACAACCCCAGAGGGTTAATTAAAATAACATGTTATTGTTTAATTGACAGCCCTAATATTTATGATAAATTACAGGATGTTAAAGATGATTAAATCTTGTGTCCAAGACTATAATTGAGATCACGGAATCAATTAAAGGCTCCTTTAAGTTTATTATTAGATTTTAAGACCACATATTCTCAAAGACTTGGCTGGAATATCACAAGCTCTACTCAATAATGGGGACAATGATAGCCACGAGCAGGAGTAAAACGGTGTGCATTTGTCTGGACTTGATGGAGAAACTCAAGACATGAAAAATGCTATCTATGCACAACGTCTGAATGATGTTTGTTCGATATTAAAAATGTCCCTCTGTGACAATGCCATGTCTAACTCACAGAAATCAACTGCTGCTGCTCTCATTTACTATCAATCCCTTGACGGATTGGAAATCCATGATATGGTAAATTAAACATTCTTTATAACCATAAACAAAAATGAAAGGTGTCACAAGCACTGCAGCTATTGCCATGGCAACAGAAATCGCCTGGCAAACTATGGACTGTGGGAAAAAGGGGAGTTCCATTGAGAGAAAGGCTTGTTTGTCTGTGTCATAACATAGTCTGTTCCAATACCATTTAAACTCTCTCTTTCCTATTGAAGAGCACCAAGTAAGAGCCCTTTGTCCACTCCGAGCAAACCTCAGCCCTGGTTATTATCAGTGACTACATGAAAGCGGAGACAGTCGAACTGGAGGAAGCTCACAGGGTGTATCAAGGGCTTGCAGAGGTCGAGGAGAAACCTCTTAGACAAGAGCCCTGCTCTGAATTACAAAGAAAGCACCAAGATGCAATGGAAATGAAGAATGAACTTCAAGGAGAATGGGATTCCAATAGGAACGTGTGTATGTAATAAAACAGAGCTGAACGGGTGAACATGACTCTGTTAATGTTTGATGATCCCATGACTCACAAAACCCTACGATGAGACAAAAAAGACCCAAACAAACTCTCGAGCATCTCAACCAAGAAAAAAAGAGAGCCAGAGAGTGAGAAAGTGTTGAGGGAGAGTCAGAAAAAGGGGAGAGACACGGAACAGATCTCACCATCAAATAAACACTGGAGCTTGACTTCCTTTTCTGAACGGAGTGAAACAGAGGAGGGCAAAACAGGGAAGCATAGAAAACAGGCCAGTGAACACAGAAAAAAATAAAGCTGCTAGTTAGATCTCACAGAGAAGAAAAAGAGAAAAAATAAACAACCACATGAAGTTGCAAAGCCATGTGTGACATGACAGGGGTGTTTAGTAGCAACAGTTGAAAAGTGTTAAACTGCTGAAATTGATTTATTGATAAGACTCGTTTCATTTAGAGAAACTGTTGCTTCACAGTTGCTTGGTGAAAGGCTGACGATTCACTGCATGCACAGAGATGGCACAGGGTTGAGAAAGTCTCTCTGCTTCAACAGATTTGACCCTGACTCAGGACTAACAAATGGGCCTCCTCAGTGGGATATTAACACACTGAAAATATATCATATAAACAGCTAATCATTTTAAATGAGAAAACAGAGAGTGTATTTAATGTCTTTGAATTGTGCCAGCCATTTGCTGGTTAGCTTGACTGTCAGTTCTGTTTACAATATGCCCTTAAAAGAAGGAAAATAAATATGGAGGAAACATCATTTAAACATAAAAACTGGGGGAAAACTGTGCATTTGTTTATGATACAAAAACATTTTATTTTATGATGCCAATGCTGATTCAAGAACTTAATGAGAAAGAGGTTCATAATATGTGTGTGGGCTTACCTTCACGCCGTCAGACTTTTTGTTCAGTAAACTTTTGCATGCTGAAAGATGAGAGAAAAAAAATTAAACACTTAGATATGCAAAATCGTTTGATGAACTGACTAGTTACTGACATCTACAATTGTTGTTCCTTTACTGTATAAACCAGTTGTTATTCTTGACTAAAACTATTAAAAATTGTTTTGGGTAATTGAAAATAAAATAAAAATATTAGATGAAAAACAAACTTAAACTAGAAAATTAAAAATAAAAATGAAATAATTAAGTTTAAGTACTAAAATTACCAAGGGCACGTTTACATGTCAACGATGTACAGTACTAAAAACGGCGAGGTTTTTCCTTTGCATTTTTTTTGCGTACAGACAAAACGTTACAAAACAATCCCGTTTTACACGGATCCTTATGAGTAAACGATTAAAAACGCTGTATTATGCATGTCAGGCCAGTAGTTGGCAACTTAGTAAAGAAAAACTATGCGCCTATAGAATGAGCATGTAATACGTCACCGTTTTCACAAATGTACATTTTTGAAGGTTTAGAGACTATAACGGTATCGTTTTTAAAAACTTGCACTTTGAAACCCCTTTTCAAAAGTTTCCGTTTTCAGGCCCCCAAAATGCCGTTGTTGTGTAAATGATCGGCTAAAATGCATAAAAAGAAATATTTTTCAAAAAAACTTAAATGACAAAGCACATAAAATTACTAAAGCTTAAATTAAAATGAAAATTTAATATATATATATAAAATGTCAATTCAAAATATGAATGAATACAATAGTACATAAATAACAATGCCACATGACACGGAATACCATCCATCCATTGGGCAGTAAAAATGCCACCTAGACCCATGACACAAGCAAACACCAAAGCACTGGCATCATATAAAGTGGCTAGAAGATTCTCTCCACCAAGAAACATGAAAGACCACCTCAGTTTGGTATTAAACACTTTCTATGAGCACATCCTATCCTGTGTTCTCATAAACAGAAACGTGGTTTAAAAGGCGAAACAGATCAAATCAGACACAATGCCAACAAATAAAAAAACAAAACAAGGATATGAGTAGACTTTATAAGTATGATCTTCAAATTCCCTTACCTTCAAAAGTAGATAGAGGTAGGAAAGAATGCAAAAAGGGAAAAAGGTAAGATAAATCAATCAACGGATTATTAAAAAGAAAAACAGCTGTGGCAAACAAAGTAGTCAAGCAACTCAAAGCAAAACTAGAGGATTTTTTGTTCATGCTGGGACCATGCTGTGCAGAGCCATCTCCTGCCTGGCCTGCTGTCATCACTGAAGGCATCTCTCCTGCACACGACTCCATGCAGATCTGACAAACCAATGCCTATGTCTGCTTCAGTTCACTCTAGCACTCTAGAGCTGAACTGCTGATTCATGAGAGGACTGAGTGGTTGGACGATAAGGCCTTTTTTCTGATCTGTTCAGCTTATGTGCTCGTAATTAAACTGGTCTCGTAATTGAAAATGTATAATGCATCAAATGAGTTTGTGTGCTGCACCTGTTGATAGTGTGAAATTAATAAAAAACGAATTTAGCATGAGTTAGAGAGGGTAGCGGTGGACTGATAAGAGGTTTTTTTAAATGGTCAGTGCCACTGCCAATAGAGAGAACAGGGTGGATGATGGCCGAGTAAGTGATCATGTACTGTACACAATACTGTTCAAAAGTTTCAGGTCAGTAAGATTTTTTTTAAAAAGAGAAGAAATTCATACTTTTTATAAAGAAATAATGCACTAAATTGATCAAAAGGCACAATAAAGACTTTCATAAGTTACAAAAGATTTCTAATAAAAAATAAAAAAAGTATTTCTATTCGTGAAAGAATCTTTTAAAAAAAATAGATCACATTTTCCAAAAATATATGAACTGTTTTCAACATTGATAATAATAAGAACTTTTTCTAAAGCAGAAAATCTGCATATTAGAATGATTTCTGAAGGATCATGTGACACTAAAGACTGAGTAATGATGCTGAAAATTCAGCTTTGCCATCAAATAATTTTTTTTTACATTTTAAAACAGAAAACAGTTATTATATAGTTTTTACAGTATCTTTCAAATACTTCAGTCTTAGTGAGCATGGAAGGCTTCTTATAAAAATAATATATATATAAAAAAAACGTTTAAAATTTGAGCCCAAAAATACTGACCCCAAAATTTTAAATGACGGTGTACAAGTATAAATTGTGTGTGCTGAAATTAGACAAATTTGCTCAAATTAAATAAACTCACAAGTGGGCATGGTTATTGGCAGTGTCTTTCAAAAAAGTCAAAGAGCAGCTAATTAAATGGCCTGGCTGATATATCACATTGTAAACAACTGCCTCTGATTAAATTAGATGTACTTGTGAGGCTTAAATAATCTGCTACAGCTGCTACAGCAGTAGGGGATGTATACTAATGATGGGAGAGGAGAGACAGTGAGCTGAGCAAGAGGGATATTTGAAGAAAGACTTTAAGTTTAGATTACAAAAGAGAAAAGCTCACTGGAAAAAGAAGGGGTATGATCAAACAAGAGCTTTAGGACCTGTGTTAATATTAGAAAAGCTTTCCAACACTGGTGAGACCCAAGCAGGAAGGCCTGAAAATGGATGCAGAGGTTGCGATGTTTCTGCTCCATCCTTGAGTAACATTATATAGTGTATATACTCTTGTATACTGTAGGTGCATTTTTTGTGCTTCCTTGTCGTCTGCTTGTCCTCTTCACTTTTTTTTTCGCAAAGCATGATTTTGCTTTGTTTCTGCTATGATAAAAAAAACTCTTGCATTACATGTTTGTGCATTTTGGCGGCAAAGCAATGAAGGGAGGGGTGTGTTTGTTTGGGTTGATTTCAAATATCAACAGTGTTCAACAACTACATCAAGAAATAGCATACTGCACCTTTAAGTATCATTGTAAAGCAACAGAAGCAATTGGCAGAGCGTTCACAGACATGCCACTTTCATTAAGACATATACATGAGGAGAGGGGCAAGAAACAAAAAGCAAGACAGAAGGACATGTGGATCCCTGTTGCTTCGTGTCCTCCATGCACAAAGACACCCGAAGACATGCTGAAAGGTGCTTTATAAGCACCACACAGCGATCCCCGCTGTGAAGACTTCGGTACTGTGGTTCTTCTCAGTAAGTCTTCCCTTAAAACCATGCTATTTCTAATACATACAGGATGTAGACATTCATTCTTACAACAGGCAAATGCATGTCAGCATCTACCCACAATTTCATACCAGTGCAGCTGGTTGACCGAAAGCCGACCTGACTGTGACTGAGGTACAGTATACAAGGAGAACGAGCCACCTTAAGAAACCATCAACATAAATAAAGGCCACTTAATCTGTAATGAAAACCTTAAATATGATGCTGTTGCTTAAGGTGACTCGGGTCGAAATACCTCCACCGGAGTATCCCTGGACCATCACCAAGAGCGCAAACCCATAATGCATTATGTTTCCAGAGAGACACCATTTGGAAGCCATAATACATGTTTTTGTGATACTCTTCTTACCATCCCAACCCGCTGAAAATGACACAAAACATCTTCTGACAAGTTCACAGCACTTGTGTAAAGATGTTCAGTGCAGACTAAAGGCAAAGGTCGCCTCTGACAGGAAAGGGCACCTTCATCCTAGACTTTGGTCAAAAGCCACAAAGGGTTACGAATGCGTCTCAGGGTTGGGAGTGACTGAATTACAAGTTTTATACGCATCAATTTACTTAAATTGTATTACTGACAAGATATGCAGTCACGCAAGATTTCTATTGAATCAACTAAGAATTGAAATATTCTAAATTCAGTCAACGAACCCAAACCCTGGAGCGTGTGTTAAGTATTCTCTGCATAGCGAATGGCCTCTCAGAAGAGTTTCAGTGCCCGTGCGTTCGCAGGGGTATAGCAGGCTCCCCTTGGTCACATGCTGAGGCTGAAAGTGGGCAACGGCCCCCTAGTGCCCATCTCACATACCTTCCTGTGCCATTGCAGCTGTGCTGGTGGTGGGGGTGGCGGGGCTGGTGTGCTGCCGACCCACTATTGGACAAAAGAGCATGTCGTTTTGGAGAGGCTTACTCAAGGCAGAAGCTCAGCCTCTCCGGGATCACAGAAAAACTTACCCAATTTGTTTCATAACAAAGCAACCAAAAGCAAAGCCCAAATGCCTCTATGCAGTCAGGAAAGTGAGGCCAGATTATAAAATCAAAGTTTTGAAAGAAACTACATAAACATAACATACTGTTCTCAATGTATGATCACAAGTCTTATTCATAATTCAGAAGCTAATAAGGCATTCACCTGAGAAGTTCCTGGACACCAGCATGGTGGTCAAAATGGCCCCCTACAGGAGACACAAGCGCTACTTTAGTATCTTATCTAGAAAAGGACAAAGTCTTCAAACAATCATAGATTTGGAGCGAGCAATAATGATGGCTATGGAAAGTAACCTAGATTAATACAGTTTTGCACTTATTCATATTAGCCAGTGCATTAACTAATGTTAACAAAATATAGAACCTTATTGTGTTAGCAATGAATGATTCAGACCTTGAGTTTTCTACGGGCGTTGAACTTGCGCAGACACTCAACGGTTTCTTGGCGATGCATCATGGAGGCGACAGTGGAGCGTTGCTAAGTGTGAGAGAAAGATGTCAGTCCTCAGGACAAATCTTTATTCAGATACAGTATGTTATGACAGATTGTATATAATACAAATTGGATATAAAGTCTCATTTAAAGTTTTTCATCAACCAAACAGGCTAGCAAATGTTTATTTCATTGCAGACTGGAACTGTAAGCTCTTTGACATTATGCCAGTTGGTGCATGTAATCGTGACAGGCTGGGTGACGCAATATAAACCAGCCCTGAAAGATATATCGAAAAGTGCTTTGGGTTTAAGTCCAGGACACTTACGCAGATCCATGGATGCTTGATTGCTTGGTCAGCCGTGATCCTCTTCGCTGGGTTGATGGTCAGCATCTGGTTGATAAGGTTTTTGGCCTCTGGGGTAACAGTGTCCCACTCTGGAGAGGGAAACTAAGACATGAAAAAACAAGAGAGAAAGATGATTGAGTTTTCTTGGTGAGGTATATTGAGGTCTACACTGAAAACCTGAGGTTTGTTTCATTTTAAACCTGAAAATGAGGGTGTGCTACCTCCCGGAAATTAGTTTTTGCAGGGTGGGATGTCTGATATTGTGTATTTACCATGGTAACTATAGTTTCCATAACCCAAAATCCCCCAATATTTTCATTATTTGCACTATTTTACATATTTGTGATGACTGTGGTGGGTCATACCTTTTTGTACGATTAACAAAAACTAGTTTTTTTAATAGCCTTTCCTTATCCTGTTTATTCGTAAGTGTTAGTGGTATTCTTACAATTTAGGTGTATGTTAAGTAAAGTGGGCATGGTGGGTTAACCCTTTTTTGAGAAATAAATTTGCTTGGTTCAAATTCATAAATATTTGGGTCGCAGCGTATTGACAATGGGAAAATGTGGGTCCCATGACCAAAGCAGTTGAGAACCACTGGTATAGTTTATTTATATTTGTATTTATTTATAATGGTAGATTCCTGGTTCATTAAAGCCCATTTTTACATTTAAACATGCATTTTATGTATAGCTGCTTTGTAAGGAAATGCATTGTGAAAAGCCCTACAAAAATAAATGTGAAGTCAATATTTCAAGATCACTAATCACAAGTAAATTTGTGACATTGATCGTGCGATTTTGTACAGATGGTCAGATGTTCTTCCATTGAAGCTCAAGATGCTCTTTAAATCATCTTAAATCATACTGGAGAACACGATCATCAGGTTTTACACAAACTTGTTGAGTTCATGAAGCTTGAGCACTGCTGACATCAATGCAAAAAGACGACAAAACAAGTACTAATTCTGAATTCAACAATGTTAATTCAACTTTGCACCCAACTAGTTTTGCTAATACTGATAATATAAACAGTAATGAAAATTTGTACTACATAAGAAAATAATGAAAAATAGAAGCATTTTCACTATCTCAGACTTTTGTATGAAACTGAGAGCTGAAATGTATACTGACATGGACAAACACACAGATCAATGGCTTCCATGGCCTGTAATGGATTTGAATAAGATTAGAGCAGAGTATCTAAAGTGATGGCTGGAAGAGTAGTCTTCCACCTGGGTGACTGAAAATACTGAAACCAAAACTGGCCTTCATAATCACATCTCTCCCACACTGCAGCACTCCATCAAATGGACAACACCACTATGCAACAAACACAACAAGCATGCTATACTCCCATGCACTTAGTGAGGCTAGTTAAGAGGGATTTTGAAAGCACACATTAAATCAAATTAGTATGAATCCATACTATGATCATGCTGGACTGTTTAGACAAACGTATGACACGATGACGATGCTATCTGCAAGACTGTTGTAACCTCATATCAGCTATATAGAATAGTGTTAATGGGAAAGATCCCACTGTAAACTGTTTTCCTTTGGGGTTTGAGGAGATGATAATGAAGAAGACTCCTCGGTTGTATGTTCCACTGCTGAGCTCTAGAGGAGGGGGCTGCCATCATTTATTATTGAGTAACTTGGCTCTCTATCCCAACCAATTAAATATTAACAAAGGCTTCAATCTGGGCTCATCACTCTTGGGTCGATGAGGTGGCACTGAAATCTCTGTATGAGGACGGCCATGAGAGCTTCTCTGTCAACAAGTTGATGGGCAATAAAAGACTAATGAAAGGCCTTTCACTTTCTGTTACTGATTGAGCCAAATGCCGCTTAAACTGGGTTACAGGCACTTTTTCAAATAAACAGGCCTTTTGTTTGACATGCTTTTACTGTTCGACTGTTTACTAAACGTCTGCTTTAATTAGATCAGATATGGGTGCAGTGTGGAGCAATTTTGCCTGGAGTGAAAAGTAGGCGTTTTGAAAGTTGAATTTCTTCCGGCACTGCTCCATCACCAAGCTGGAGAATGATGGAGAAACACAACTGGGGAACCATAGGTTGTGATGTGAAAACAAGAAGTTTTTCTTTCACACATGTGCACTACCGTTCAAAAGTTTTTAGAAAGAAATTAATACTTTTATTCAGCAAGGATGTATTAAATTGACCTAAAGGGACAGTAAAGACCTTTACATTCTAACACAATATTTCTATTTTAAACAAATGCTGCTTTTGCTGCTCAAAATTTTGACTTTCTATTTAACAAAAACAGAAAAAATAATCACAATTTTCACAAAAATGTGAAGCAGCATAACTGTTTTTTAACATTATTAAGACATTACATTAATAAAATAAGAAATGTTTCTCTTGAGCATCAAATCAGCATATTAAAATGATTTCTGAAGGATCATGTAACTGGAGTAATGACTGCTAAACAATCAGCTTTGCCTTCACAGGAATAAATAAAACATTTTGAAGTATATATTAAAATACAAAACAGTCATTTTAAATTGTAATAATAATGTACAATGTTACCGATTTTACGGTATTTTGCGGTATCAAATAAATCCAGACTTCATTGAGCAAAAGAGAGGTCTTTCAAAAACACTAAAAATATACTACTGACTTCCAAAGTTTTGATTTGGATCTACTGGGTATGGATCTATAGGTCTACTTGACAAAAAGTAATGAGAATCCAACATTGAAAATCTCATATTGGTCAACCACTGATCTGAATATTGGGGTGGATGTGTTTCCTTCAATGGAACAGGCCTGATTAGATCTAAAACAGTGTAATTACATTATAAAGCAGTGAGAACTCATTAAGGGAAACAGTGTGTGTGATCACTCACGTCATAGGCTCCAGCCTTGATCTGTAGATACAGTTTGTGCTGATCCTCATCCCAGAAAGGAGGGTAACCCACCAGCAGGATATACAAGATCACACCTGCCCAGGACACACAAATTAATAACTATTTAAATACTAATCCACTCTTCTTCCAAAGTAAAGAGACTGAATCACATATTTAGTACACCGATTATTCATAAAAGTGGACAAATACATGACACTACAGGACACTAGAAAAAATAGACTATTTAAATGACACTTTAAATAAAACCAGTGAAAATCTTACCACAGGCCCAGATATCCACTGGCTTGCCATATGGATCCTTTCTCAGGACTTCAGGCGAGAGGTATCCAGGGGTGCCTGCAAAACCTGTAAGGCCATATTGTGATTTACATACATCTAAAATGAACTGATTTCACTCACAAAATCTTCAACAGGCAACAACATTTCAGTTTGTATTAAACACAAAATAGTTTGTGAAAAAAAGATGTGCAGATGTGCTTGAGATGTGCATAAAAATAGATATTTCTTAAAGGCTGTATAATGTGAAAAAGCATATTAGAAATTCCCACAATTTTGGAAAAGCTTATTTTTAATTTGTTCACTGGCTTTGTCGTCTGTGACCTCTGACTTGGTTCAAGTGAGTAGTCTTGACTCAAAAAGAACATTAAACTCCATATTTCCCATGAGCACAGTATAAAAACACAAGCTGGCTACTCTCCAGAGTTCTCCAGTCCCACAAGAGCCAAAGATGCCATAGAGAGCAAACCGAGCAATAAGGGAAACACTGCTTGAAAATCAGCGAATGTTGTAATGTATGAGAAACCAGTGAAATTCATTTGGTCTCTTGAATTTAATTCAATCTTGCATCAAGATGATCTACAATGCCTTCAAGCCAAATCCCTTTAAGAGATCAGGCTACCAACGAGTTGAAGGAAAAGCAAAGGAGTCTTACCGAACCAGGCCTGCTGATCTCCCTGCACCTCGATGGCAAGGCCAAAATCAGCCAGCTTCACTGCCGCCCCCTTCATCTTACTGGCCAATAGCAGGTTCTCTGGCTATAAGAGGACACATGAAAGAGAAAAGGGTAGGAGACAAGAAAGGAAGGAGGAATAGTGAGAAAGAAAATGAGAGAGTAGACATAGATAAGTGAGTGTGAAAGAGCAAAGGAGAACATAAAATGGGTATATCAACACCGAAATCTCCAAATGCTGTGAATGTTACCATAAAACATAAAGGTGTAGTGTGCCATTTTTGAGGCCAAAAGTGATCTTGAGTTAAGTTGAGGCCACAGTAGCAAAAATTTGCGCTCAAAAAAGGTCCACCGTCAATGTATGAAGCACAGCAAACAGAAGTCACTTTTTTTAAAATCAAGCTACTTTCTGTTGGACATTGTGGCGAATCAGCATGACCAACTTGAACCTGGTCCAAAATCTGAGGTGAAATCTCACAAGAAATTCACAACCGTACATTCCTGTTGAATGTATTCCTGTATTCCTGTTGATATTACTGTTTTCGGCTCGCAAACATTCTGCACCTTTACAATTCTACACAATTTCATCTAAATAACTTAAAAATAAAACACTAAAACAACATTATAGTGTACAGCATGAAAAAACTAAATGTGAGCCAAAAGAATTATAAAGTGCAGTCGACAGGCATTCCCTCCCATACGGCTGCTCACTTATTCTGTGCATGAGAATGCTAAAGGTGATGATCAAACATACCGAGGCTGAGTTTAATCAGCTGTGATCTGCATTAAAGGACATAAACGTATCCAGCATGTTCTATGAGGACAGCGTTTCATCACCACACTGTAGGAATACTGAGATCCGGTCTCGAACTACAGAGGGAACCAAGTCAGAGGAGAGACAGAAATAGTGTGCATGCTTGTATATGTGTGCGAAAAGAAGGGAGAGATTGCACGTGGTGTCTTTATCTTACTGGTGTCTGTGTGTAAAGCGGACCGATAGTTATGACAGCACACCCATTGCTCTGAGCTGCATAATTCATGAAGAGACAGAGAGGAGGGCTTGTTATCTCATGCTACGAGAGCAGGGGTGAGCTGCTCTCTCGCCCCGCTGTCCCACACACCCCGCTGCCTCTGTATGCTGCAGACACAGCCCTGACCCGGACACAGCGCAGCCACCCTACAACAACTGCCGGAACAAGTTTTATAGTGAGCTGCATGCAACAGACTTTCTGTGACATCATGACATGGTGATGGCTTGTTATAATAAATATTAATTAAAGGGATAGTTCACCCAAAAATCATTTACTCACCCTTAACTCACTTCCAAACCTGTATGAGTTTCTTCTGTTGAATGCAAAAGAAGATATTTTAAAGAATGTTGGTAACCAGACAGTTGATGCTAGCCATTGACTTAGTTTTTTTTTTTCAACTATGGAAGTCAATTGCTACCGGCGTCAACTGTTTGATTGCCAACATTCTTTAAAAAATCTTCTTTTGCGTTCAACAGAAGAAACTCATACAGGTTTGGAACAACTTAAGGTCACTTTTATCAAGGTCACTTTTATTTATATAGCACCTTAAAACAGCATTTCTGCTGACCAAGGTGCTTCACAAAAACACAAATAAAAACACAATAAAAACAAACATCGTACAAATTTCATAGTATAACATTTTAACTCACTAAGGCTACATATCCACAGTTATGAGTACGCCTGAGAAAAAAGATGTGTTTTCAAAGCTGACTTGAATGCATATAAAGAGGAAGCTAACCTAACAACTTAACAGTGAGTAAGTGATAAAAGATTTTTTGGGTGAACTATCCCTTTAAATCATACTGACAGAAGATTACTTTCCTAGACTGCCCAATGATGTAAACTAAGGAATATTCATAAGCCAAGCCAAAAAAATGTCTAAAGGTCAAAAGTTTGAAATGCTGGGCATCACATCCTCCTTATCTTTTTTTTTAAGAGCTCAAAGATTTATTTTTGAATCAGTTTTTAGAACTTGAAACTGGTATCAACATAAAAAAACAGCAAACAATCAACACTGAATTGCAGATAATAGATAAATTAGTAGAAGAATAAATAAGATAAATAAATTGCTACTTTTCTAGATAAATAGAAGGTCAACCTTACATTTGTTGGAACAACGGTTCTTTTCACTTAATTCAAGGGCACAAAAATGTGACAATGTTATTATTTTAGTATTATTTACATACCACATCAGCATTTGGAAACCTTATGGCACGTAGAAGGATAACCACTGAAGCGAATGGACTGTCGGATCTGTGCGCTAGCACAGGTTAAAATTTCAGTTTATTAGTATTTACAGTACCGGTACCTAACTTAATAAAACAGGCTGTGTGACTATGAGGAATGATTACTTCAAAATGTAAGCCTGTGTGCAAGTTTGAGGGACTTTATTTAAATTAAATGCATACACCTCTTTAGCTATTGTCACGTGCCCATATGCCATAGGTTGCTGACCCCTGTACTATATAACATTTATTAATATTTTCAATGACCTTTTATTTTTATATTTTAATTGTAGTTGTTTTAGTACTTTATGTACTTTTATCATTTTTTAATAATTAAAAAAAAATTCGATTTATTTTTCCCCCCAGGTTTTAGTCATTTTAGTTATTCATATTTATATCAGTTAGTTAAGAAAGGCAAGCAACATTTCTATTTTTTGTTTAAGTTAATGTTTTTATCTAATACTTATTTTATTTCAGCTTTATTTCAATTACCAATTTTTAAAAAAATGTTTTAGTTTTAATTAACAATAACATCATCTTCTGTGAACTTTTTCTTTACACTCACCTAAAGGATTATTAGGAACACCATACTAATACTGTGTTTGACCCCCTTTCGCCTTCAGAACTGCCTTAATTCTACGTGGCATTGATTCAACAAGGTGCTGAAAGCATTCTTTAGAAATGTTGGCCCACATTGATAGGACAGCATCTTGCAGTTGATGGAGATTTGTGGGATGAACATCCAGGGCACGAAGCTCCCGTTCCACCACATCCCAAAGATGCTCTATTGGGTTGCGATCTGGTGACTGTGGGGGCCATTTTAGTACAGTGAACTCATTGTCATGTTCAAGAAACCAATTTGAAATGATTCGAGCTTTGTGACATGGTGCATTGGAAGTAGCCATCAGAGGATGGGTACATGGTGGCCATAAAGGGATGGACATGGTCAGAAACAATGCTCAGGTAGGCCGTGGCATTTAAACGATGCCCAATTGGCACTAAGGGGCCTAAAGTGTGCCAAGAAAACATCCCCCACACTATTACACCACCACCACCAGCCTGCACAGTGGTAACAAGGCATGATGGATCCATGTTCTCATTCTGTTTACGCCAAATTCTGACTCTACCATCTGAATGTCTCAACAGAAATCGAGACTCATCAGTCTTCTGCTGTTGTAGCCCATCTGCCTCAAGGTTGTGCGTGTTGTGGCTTCACAAATGCTTTGCTGCATACCTCGGTTGTAACGAGTGGTTATTTCAGTCAAAGTTGCTCTTCTATCAGCTTGAATCAGTCGGCCCATTCTCCTCTGACCTCTAGCATCAATAAGGCATTTTCGCCCACAGGACTGCCGCATACTGGATGTTTTTCCCTTTTCACACCATTCTTTGTAAACCCTAGAAATGGTTGTGCGTGAAAATCCCAGTAACTGAGCAGATTGTGAAATACTCAGACCGGCCTGTCTGGCACCAACAACCATACCACGCTCAAAATTGCTTAAATCACCTTTCTTTCCCATTCTGACATTCAGTTTGGAGTTCAGGAGATTGTCTTGACCAGGACCACACCCCTAAATGCATTGAAGCAACTGCCATGTGATTGGTTGATTAGATAATTGCATTAATGAGAAATTGAACAGGTGTTCCTAATAATCCTTTAGGTGAGTGTATACTATATAGCCAAACCAGCCCCTCTGTCCCCCCAGTTACAATCTTTTTTTTCTTCAGTCTAGCCACTGCTCGACTGTCCCTGTTCGGTTCTAACGTCCCTGTCGTAAGATTCTCTTGTCTGTCTGACGGTGTTCAACAGTCTCTTTCGCTCTGATGAATTAGAGGCGGCAAAATGAGTCCCTACCGCACACGCTCACCACCATACCATGGTTCTGCAGCCTCTGTGACATCACACGAGTTTCCATAGCAACCGGCCTGCCTTCAGCACTCCTCTGTCTGCCTTTACTTTTGAAGAGGTGAACTAATATGGAAAGGGCCGGTTCAGTTGGAGGTTCTGGAGGGGTGGGGTTAGAGACATTTTTGTCCACCACATGCCACTGATCTGTTTTTTAGCAGTCATTATTGTAGAAAAAAAACCCACTTCCACGCAAACACACGTGATTTCACCTCCTACACAGACTCTACTATATCTACTCCTAGGAAGATGTGAAGATACAAAAGAAAAATTACTGTAACCTCTGACAAGCAACAAGGAAGCACTGTTTAATTTCAATCCAATATGAAGTTCAGACTGAACGATGGCATTTAAGCAACAAATCTCTCCATCCTCTATTAAACATCCCTTTGATTGCTTTCTGCATTGTGCTTGTCATCAAATCGCCCCTCTGGATTCGTCACAGCCAACTGGCCACTCTCTGACGTCAAGAAACACAAATAACAATCAAACAGGCAAGAAAACGGCCATCCATGTTTTCCAGTGACAAGTTAGCAGCCACACAGTGTTTAATGTCACAAGCACATGTTTGAGTGTGTGCTGATGACGCCACAGTGTTGCCAAGAGGAGGAGGAGGGTTTGGATGACGCAAGCTCCAGGATTGGCACATTGCCACACTGACGGCATGACTCACCTTGAGGTCCCTGTGCACAATGTCATGCTGGTGGATGTGGCAGACGCTTTCCAGGATCTGATTGATGCAATGACTGAGAAAGAGAGAGAGAGAGAGAGAGAGAGAGAGAGAGAGAGAGAGAGAGAGAGAGAGAGAGAGAGAGAGAGAGAGAGAGAGAGAGAGAGAGAGAGAGAGAGAGAGAGAGAGAGAGAGAGAGAGAGAGAGAGAGAGAGAGAGAGAGAGAGAGAGAGAGAAAGCAGGGAGAAGGAAAAAAGGGACAGATTAGGGAAAGAAATCCAGGCATTAGTACAAGGATCTAACTCCAGATAGAAGATCAGGCACAAGAAATCTAGCTGAAGAATCTGGCCTATGCAGAGAGACTGAGCTTTGTATAAACAGGTAAATACTCTGATTTGTTTTATGGTTGTCAAAGCTACCAGAGTAGCTCTCAGGATGGGAATGAAGATACATTTACCATGTCATCCAAATGCCAAAACATTTTTCCTGGAGCTGAATAAATACAGCAAATACAGTAATTTTTTTTTTTTTTTTTTTTTTTTACAATTTAAAATAACTGTTTCTATTTGACTCCAGTCTTCAGTGTCACATGATCCTTCAGAAATCATTAAAATATGCTTAACATACATTAATTATTGTTGAAAACAGTTGTCAATTTTTTTTTCAAAAAAAAAAAAGAACAGCATTTCAAAAGAACAGCATTTATCTGAAATAGAAGGCTTTTGTAACATTATACACATCCGTTCAAAGGTTTGAGGTCAGTAAGATGTTTTTGTTATATACAGAAATCAACACTTTTAATTCAGCAAGGATACATTAAAGTGATCAAAACTGACAGTAGATAGATTTATTATGTTACAAAATATTTCTATTGTCAATGTCTCTATTCAGCAAAGAATCCTGAATTGTTCCCCCCCCAAAAATATGAATAGCATTTGTCTCTCACACTCTCTATAGGGCATTTGTTGCTCCGGCAGACTTGCACTGCAGAGAGACATTTCAAAAAAGACTTCTATAGACAGTGAGGCGACATAAATAAGCACCGGTGGAGCTGGAAAGAATGTTTATAAATGCAGAGAGTGGAGCAGCTCATTACAGAGCTCTGAAACCTGTTCAAAAGGTCATGACCCGAGGAAAGAGGAAGGGTTGGGAGGAGATGACATCTCTCTGAGGGAATGTTTGTTTGTTTGGAAGCATGCTTAAACCAAATCATTCAGAAATGTATTTTTTCATGTAAAGAGAGAGCAAAAAAGAGAGAGCTCGCAGAAAGAAAAGCAATGGCAGTTGCGGAAAGAAAGAGCCCCATTAGATATTCCCTGAAGCTCTCTTGAGGAAGGATGGCGAGGAAGGCATTTCTTGTGTCCAAATTTGGCAAAATCTGTGGACTGCATTCCATTCCATCCCATTACAGAGGCACTTCCCAGCAAAAACTCTCTCTGTTCTCCCTTGATGCGAACTCTCAGAAGCAGTCTTTACACTGTAAGTCTGGAGAGTGCCTTCCAAAAGTAATTGGAAAGTGACACTAAATTTGTTGTTCCAGCTTAGTGCTGAATATGAAGTGGATATGGACTGAAGCTTAAATTTAAGGGGATGCCTATCCAGGCAGCAGTTTAAAAATAACATCACATTTCAGGCCAGCTTCCATCCCTGTTAAAGCACAGAGTATTTACATAGCTTGACATTATTTGAAATAAAAATATCACGTTTAATAATCAGTTGCGTAGCCCTGGCATTTAATGATTGTCTCACTGTCTGAGACCAAAGGGCAGCATTAGAGTCAGAATATCTTCACTGAGGCCTTACAGTAAAGTGCTGCGGTGGTGCCATGGTGCAGAGATGGCTGCAGACAGTAATACCATGGTACTATGCGTACATCACTAAATAACTGCTATAGTACACACACACAACCGCTCAAAAGTTTGGGGACAGTACGATTTAGAAAAATATATATATATTAATACATTTATTCAACAAGAAAACATTAAATATTCTTGTTTCAAAAAAATTCTATTTTAAATAAATGATGCTCTTATGAACTTTCTTTTCTTGCCCTGAAAAGAAAAACCACTGTTTCCAAACAAATATTAAGCAGCACACGTTTTCAACATTGATAGTAATATGAAATGTTTCTTGAGCACCAAATCAGCATATTAGAATGATTTCTGAAGGATCATGTGACAGTAATGATGCAGAAAATTTGCCATCACATGGAAAAATTACATTTTAAAATATATTAAAACAGACATCAGTTACTTAAAACATTTATTTTGAAATAAATTGAAGTATTTTTAATTAAATAAATGCAGCCATGGTGAGCACTTCTTTCAAAAACATTAAATAGTTGTCTTTAACAGACCCCAAACTTTTGAACAGTATTGTATATATATATATATATATATATATATACAGAAATATATATATATATATATATATATATATATATATATATATAAAATATTACAACTAAACAATGATATGGTTTTAGCTGAATTTTTTAACATACCTTGCATCTGCTTCACTGTAATATTCTCTTGCGACAATGTCTTCAAACAGTTCTCCACCAGTAACACTACAGGAAGAAATACAGGCTTTATCAACGGCTCAAGGGAGGAGAACTCAAAACTATAAAGAGCATGAGGCCTGTAGAGGAGTGTGTGGCTAATGGAGGGAAGCTTTATCACCGTAGTTCGGCACTTAAGTGTTGGGTTAGCGCTATTAGAGTCTTAATGACACAAGAGCCCTGAGAGAGGGCCATACAGTTACAATCTACACACACATATGTCTCGCTCTCACACAATGCAGTTACACAGAGGACTCTATACCTCAACATTTCAGACTCGTTCAACACGATGTCAACATAACTCAAGCAAAGGAGTCAGAAATAAACCAAAGTATTTTAGACTAAATGGTAGGGATGCACAACATGTATATATACATCGGCCTGGTAGGAAAATTTAACTGATACGTTAAAGCCGATAAATAATGGATTGTTTCTTTCAGCAGAGACACTTCCGATGTGAACTGTTTGCCATGATGCTTTTGAATTGCTTGAAATATGATTGGAATTACTTCAAAAAGGAAAATACATTTAAGTGCAACTTGTGCAGCGCAAGTCTGAGAACATTATAATTGTGTGCTTGTGACATGGCTTTTAATGTCGAGACTTTTGTTTTTGTAATCAGGCTCTCAAAACTTATTTATGTTTTATGTTTATTGGCTTTCAAAAATGTTCATATCAGTGCATCCCTACTATATGGTAAAGAGAAATGGGCCTACTGGCTAAAGAGAAAAGAGTTTAATGGTCATACATCAATTACATTTTCCTGTAATTAACAGTTAATTACACCCAAACAGGGCTGAAAGGAAGTGGAAAGTGCGAGTATACAGGCCTCATCTAGGATCAATCTTGTTTAACAGCAGAAGTAAGAGGGAAGATCAGAGTGTCTGACTCAGATACTTACAGGTCAAAGACCAGGTAATGAAAGCCTTCTTCTGAGATACTGTCATGGAGACGCACTGTTGAGGGAAAACAGATAGAGAGAATGAGGTAAGACAGAGAAACAACATAAGCAGGATGAACAGAACAAGCTTTTATCCTTTTCTTGACCTGCCCATGAAGTCATCCTCATTAGCTCAATTACAAAACCCCAACCTTGCTGCCTAATGCCTTCTAAGGCAGCATCGTAAGTGACCCATTTGGAACGGTGCACATAGAGAGCAACTCCACATGCCACACAAATAGCACAGGACAGTGGTTCTCAACCACAACATAATATTCGAATGCTATACACCATATAAGGTAAGATATTTTCTGTATTTCTGTAATTGTTGTAATTCTTGTGTGCAGCTTACAATGCAGCTTGTTTTCAAAATGATTTTATTAACAGAAACTGGGCCTTGTCCACACGGACACGGGTATTTTTATAACCGTGACTTTTTTTACGCGGTTCGGCCGTTCGTCCTCACTGAAACTGAACATTTTTGAAAACCCCTGCCAGGGTGAGGATTTTCAGAAGCGCCGGTTACAGTGTTGTCGTGTAGACAGTAAAACCGGTGTTTTTGCCTTGCGACGTCAGAGTGTGCGCCGTTATTCGCTGTGTTTGACGTCAGATTGTGCGCCGTTATCCGCCGACCGGAACCGGTAATAACTTTTTGTTAGGCTTCTGATTGGCCAACGTGGCTTTACGGTTAGGGTTATATCGCCGCCTGCTGGTGTGGCATGCTCTTGACAGCGCTTGATAGCGTGTTTTTTTTTTTTTTTTATGTAGATGTAGATTTTTTTAAACCGAGCATGTGTGGACAGGATTTTTTTTTAACTGCAGGAGGAAAAACTCCGGTTAAAAATACTCGTGTCCGTGTGGACAAGGCCTGGGTCTATTTACATATTAAAGGAGACCTATTATGCCCCTTTTTACAAGATGTAATATAAAACAGCATTTCCACCGCTGGAAATTTCCACAGGAACAAGGGAATTTGGGGTGGTACTCTGTGTGTTTCGACCACAGGAACCAGGGTCTAAATGAAGTTCCGGGAAAAAATTCCCTGCTCGCAAGGTAGTACTTTTTCAAAGTTCAGGAACTTTCGGGGGTGGGACTTGGGCGCTGAACATGCTGATGGGTTGAGTTCACGCAGCATTTTGATTGGTTGTCTCGAAGCAGCATTTTATTTCAACCACCATTTTTTTAATTCTGTTGCGGTGCATGCATTAACAGTTGTTTGCTATTCGAATCGACAATGGAGTTTAAAATATGTTCGATGGACCAACGACGAAGATCAGGCTTTATTAAGATTATATGTAGAGGACAAAATCCAGCGTGAACTGTAAAATCGCGCACAGTCTTACGTCACTGGACTAATTTGCCAAATCTTCAGGGTGCTTCAGACCGCAATGGAAACGCAGACAGCATCAGGTCTGGGGGGGGGGGGGGGGGGGGGGATAAGTTGTTCCAGGTAATTTAAGTTAATAAATCCCATTTTTATTAACCACAATGACATGGGAGAGTGATAAGACTGACACTAATAAGGATACATGACATACAAATACTGGGCAAAATTAAATTAAATATATTTACATTTTTATTTGGCTTACATTTTAATTGAACATTTTTAATTACACTGAACTATTTTAGAACTGAATGAATTATAAGTTTATTTATAGACAACATTTTCTCATGCTCGGCCAACATCTAGGATTTTTTTGTATTTGTTGCAATGCATTATTATGGGACTGTTTTCTCTTCAAAGGATACAAGTTACATTAGAAGGCAACACTATCGCATTTGTTTTTCTTTGAAACAATGTGCCTTGATATATTGTGCACAATAAGACCGAGCTGTGAAAAAAGAAACACTGACTTCATGACCACTTTAAATTAAAAAGAATCACAGCTGACATCATTCGTGTCAGAGGAGGTACTGAGGTTCACATTACTGAGGGAACGGTGGCATTACAAGTAAGGCAAGGAACATTTGTTATCCTGATTGAAAGTAATGAATTTGTCATTGGTAGTTACAGATTTGAAACAGTGCACCTGCCAGATCTCACACACACGCAGGCATTAAGAGACCCCTCGGCTCGCTCTCATTGTGTGTGGGTCTGTGTAAATGACAGCGAGCATTAATCTCAGACATGTGAGAGGTGGCTGTGCTAGAGGAGGGCAGAGAGGACAAAGCAGAATTATATTATCTCCACATACACCCAGGATCACCCGCGGCGCTGACACAAACACACACATTCTGACAGGAGGACTGTGTTTTAACACAATTCAGACTCATGGTGCTGTGAACAGTGTGTGAATGGAGAGAGATTTTAACAGGTTGGCCTGAGAGAAGTGAGGTGTGGATAGAGGTGATTTGTGTTGTACTCTGATGGAGATGACACTAGTTATTGCTCTAGTACTCTAGAGCAATAAAACTTGCCCTAATACTTTTGACTTGAACTAGAGTACTGGCACTTCACTGGTCTAAAACTAAAATGGAAAAAAGCAATAATATTAGTCAGGTGTGTGTTGTAGTAATGTAGCTGCTGCAGATGTGTATAAAACATATTTATAAAATACACAATATACTAAATACTTGGGGTAAGTACTTTTTTTTTTCCTCGAAAGAAAGAAATACTTTTATTCAGCAAGTATGTATTACATTTATGAAAGTGACAGTAAAGACATTTATAATGTTAATGTAAAAAAGACTTTTATTTGAAAAAAATGCTGTAAATTTTTCCTGGTTTACACAAAAATATTAAGCAGCACAACTGTTTTCAACACTGATAATAATAAGATATGTTTTTTGAACACCAAATCAGCATATTAGAAAGATTTTTTAAAAACTGCCATCACTGGAATAAATTACATTTATTTTAAATTGTAATAGTATTTCACAATATTGCTGTTTTTACTGTTTTTTTTTAATCAAATCAATGCAGCCTTGGTGAGCATGAGATACTTCTGTCAAATAATTAAAAAAAAAACCTTATCGACCATATAAAATGTGCAGAGCTGTGAGAAGCACTGTTTTATATTACTTTATTATTATTATTATTTTTTCAATATTTCTGAACATTTATTTGCTAATTTATTTTGTATCTTTGTTCAGTTATCTTTATCTGTCTATTGTTATAACCATACAATGAACTAACCATATTATAAGAAAAATCTGACTGACCAATAAAAGTTCCTTTTTTATTAGCATAGTTTTATGATCCCTTGATATCCGGTAATATCACAAATCTTGACATCTTTTTCGAATATCAGTACCGGACACATAAATCAAAATCTTTTATTTTATTGGTAGGTGAGTTTTTTTTTGCTTAGCGGAAAAAGAAATTCTGCAAAAACACCAGTGTTGGGTGAATTTTCACAATCTGTTGAAGAGCTCCACAGGGATGCATTGTTCCTTTCTTACATTTTGTTGCACTGAAAACGCATGCCTGAAGACGTAGCTCTGAGTGAGATAACATGAAGAATGAATGTAGATGCATGTGGGCCGTGTGTGTGACAGAGCTTATGTCACACTATCTGCTCTAGCTATGAGTCTGTGGGCCAACGGCAGTCATGTGTTCATATCTGCTGTTTTTTTAGAAGAGGGTTTATTAACAACAAACCCCGCTGTTGGTAACATGTACAAAAGCTGTAAGTTACCCTGCATGTGTACAGTCTATGTGTTCAAGAAAAAGGAAGCGGAAAAGAACGAGTTTGAGTCTTTGCTGCCATAGGCCATGTGCTCCTTGAGCATGCTCTCTCTCTCTCTTATATACACACTTGATTGCTCTTTTTGTTAGGAGTTTACTGGCAGTCCATGCAGAAAACATGACAATCTGATCCTTTGAGAGAGAGTGAGAGGGAGAAAGAGTAAAAAAAGAGAAAGAGAACATGACAGAGAAAGAAAGGGCCATTTAAGGCGGTTAAACAGTAAAGGGTACAAAAGACAGATTTAGGCCACTGGGAATGGAAGGGAGGGAATACAGGAGAAAGAGAAAAGCGTGAGAGGAGAGATGAGATAAGGGGGTGGGAAGGGAGACAATTCCTAGAAAGAAAAAAATGAGCGCTACATAAAAAAAACACAAAAAAGAGAGACATCAAGTGACGATTGTGGCTACTAATGATTATCAATGAACAATGACACACATGTCAGATTGTCCCTTACATAAAGGTATAGTATGTCTTCAGAAAACTTGGAATAGCCAAAGTCTTATGGTCTAATTTTATGTGGCATCTCTGTCCTTTTTGGAGTTTAATTTGCTTTGGTATAAAAAGGAGCAGCTTGAACATTGTGTCTAACCTCTCATTTTGTGTTTCACGGAAGAAAATAATAACATGAATAAACATGAAGGAAAGTAAATGCTGACAAAATTGCAACTTCTGGGTGAATATTCCCTGTTGTGAATATTCCCTGTCTGGTGTGAGTCATTTAATCACGGTTAAAGGATATTTTCTCAAACAGTTCCGACCGTTTTGTTTTAATCCTGTTGTATTCCTTCGAGTCCTCATAACTTCAGATTCCACAAAAGCTTGATCTTGAATTCACAAACTTTCTAACTTTCTCTTTTGCACCTGGTGATTACCTCAGTGTCCTTTATCACCATGCAGAAACATCTTACCACAGCACTCAGCTGTTCACACACACTGAAGTGAGCCTGAAGGGACAAAGCCTGAGACATTTCCATGATTTTGCATAAGCAGGAGATTTTGTCTGTGTGATCTGTCGTGTCAGCCACATCCTTTCTCATTCCATGCAAATAATCTTGTGTTGACTGTGAAGCATGTTTGTACAGTATGTCTCACTGTACATCCACTATTGTCCTTGATTATTGAGGGGAGAATGGGATCAGGACATGTTGCATCCCGGACTCGAATCTGCACCCCCTGCATTGAGCATATTGAGCACAAGCATGTTGTTGAGACTCACCTATGTTGGGGTGTTTGAGCAGACGGCAGATCCGAGCCTCTCTCTCCAGCTTCTGATGATCTGAGGATTAAACACAGAGAGAACAATTCAGCACATTTAACCCCTGAACCTCCAACACCTCTCAGAACACAAACATTATCAGTGAAGAACCACTTGAAAAGTTTAGGTTTTTTTAATGTTCCTAAAAAAGTCCATATATTTGATCAAAAATACAGTTTCTCACACAAATCAATTCTGTTTCTCCTTTGGCTTCAGAAGACGGGACTTTTATGATGTTTTTAAATGGTGTTTTTTGGTCATTTGGTTCACTTTCATTATCTGGAAATGACCGATGTGCTCAAATCACCCTGAGATGGATATGAATCCCAGGTGTAAACAGTGCCTGTGATGCAGTCAATGCAACCGTTCAGTGACATAATTAATAGCAGGCATTCTGCCCTATTATTAGCAAGAATAGTAAATGACTCTGGGCGAATGCAATGTGCACGAGGTAAAGATGTCCACTCTAGAAAGAAAGCGTCCAAGATTAATATAACTGCCCATCCTGAAATAACGAGCATCGATCTCTAAAAGGATACAAGGTCATAGCCTCTATGGGAAACCTTTCAAGATTTCTTATTGCAGGCCAATCAAACAGACACACAAACAAACTGCTTCTGCAGTGTAAATGCATAATATGAATACATAGGTCTTCCCAGCCTATAAACAATTATGTTACGCACCACCAATCATGGTAGAGACCTGATCATGTGACAAAGAATAAGCCAAGAGGGTTTTTTTACTCTTGACTATGTGTCAGCATGGAAAAGCAGTTTCTAATGCAGGGCTGTTGGTATTGGGTCTTGTCGTGTATACTCCATGTCAAGCATCTTAACTAGAGTTGTCTGCATGACGCCAGACAACACCCTAGTTGAAAAGAATGCACATGTGCACCAAACACACAGTCATCTGCAGCAGCAGTGATCCACTAGTAGGAATTCAAATCATGAACTCAATGCATTGTGCGCTACTCGTCTAAAATGAGCCAGACCTCAAACTGTAAGAAAATATTACAAAATATAATAAAGACTGAAAAAAAAGTAAAGATGTCCCAGGGTGTTTATGTATTCGTGTTTCTATGTTCCTGTCGGAGGCCTTCACTAACCGCATGTGGATCTTCTACCAAAAAGACTTCAAATTCTCTGACAGCCCCAAAGCATGATTCTCAGAAATGACATCAGCTTCAATCTTAAAGGATCAAATATTAATCTAAAAACATCACCACCACACTAACATCACACAGCCTTAGCATTCACAGTACTTCTCATGAACACACACACACACACACACACACAAACACGAAGTGATGATGTTTTCATCATATTTGTTGAAATACAAGTGGGTGTAGGATCATGGGTGGCTTAAAGCTTTTCTGAGAAGTGCTACCTAATAAACATCTCTCTGAAAGAACGAACGGTGACCGCTGTGAGTGATGTGCGTGTGCGTTCGGTTTAGGGCAGCAGATGTCTTTATTACCTAACAGAATTAATACAGGACATTTAATATTCGGCTCCCTACAGAACAGTTAATCTGATGGCTGAGGCCTGAGAGACGGCCGTACAACGACTGCTGGAATGTAGAGAAAATAAACACCACACACATAAATTAAACACTTTGAGTATGTGTAATAAAACATTTTGTTTTTATCATTTGCTGCATCTTCCACATGTAATCTATCCACTGCATTATAAATCAAGTTTGAAGTAGAATAAACACAAATCCACTGATGGCTGTGATCTGATAAAGGCTTCGAGAAAGAGAAATGGCTTTGAGTGGCTCCCCTTCCACCTTTTTTTTCTGTCCACTCACGCTCCTCCCTTTGTGCGATCTCTCTCGTTTTCTCTTTTTATCCCATTACTGAAGAGATAAATAAATGATGTGTTGTTCAGTGACCATCTCTAAAATCCAATTGGGCTAAGTGCTGCTTTCTCACTGTGCGGTCAGGTCCATGATGTCATGGACTCTCAGAGAGAGAGAAACAGAGAGATTCAGAAAGCAGGAACACTGGATTGACTGCTATGAACGGTTAAACGAAACATCAACAGGTGTATAAGAGTCCTGAGATTGGATCAGCATAAACCTTTGATGACAATGAGCATTCTAGACCAGCAACTGTATGGTTTAAAACAAATTCCAATAGATTCCAATAAAATTCCAATAGATAGTAGGAACTTTCCACAAAACGAACACAATACAATTTATATTTCTGTTTCAGCAAACGGTCAGTGAAAATAGAATTTAAAACCATTATTTGTGTGATTTTTTGGGGTCGGTAAGAATTTATGTTTTTTAAAGTTTCACCAAGCCTGCATTTATTTGAGTAAAAATATACTAAAAATAGTAATATAGTGCAATATTGTTTTTTTTTACCAACTAATAGTAACTGTTCTATAATATAATACAGTAATTTCAGCATTATTACTTTATTCTTCAGTCACATGATCCTTCAGAAATCATTCTGATGTGCTGATAAGCTGCTCAGAAAACCTTTTTTTTTTATTAGCAATGTTGAAATCAGTTGCACAGCTTAATATTTTTATGAAAATATGGTAAATCTTTTCAGGATTCTTTGATTAATATAAAGTTCAAAAGAACAGATTTATTTGGAATAGAAATCTTTTGTATCATTATAAATGTCTTTACTGTCACTTTTGCTCAATTTAATGCATCCTAGCTGAATAAAAGTATTCATTTCTTAAACAAAAAACTTGCTGACCTGAAACTTTTGAACTGTAGTGTAATAATCAGACAACATGTCCACAAATGAATAGAGTTCATTGGTCTAGCTAGCTGTAGGGTGTTTATGCCTGCCAAGCAACGTAGAAACTTACTAATTAATATTGAATGTGCAGTAACACGTTCAAGATGTTTATCAGCTTTTACAACAGCAACATGGCTCATCCAATCAGAACTGTGTGTTTTTTATAATGAATCATAAATACCAATCCAGCTGGAGCCGTTTATGTATGTTTGCAGGTGCTCTTTCCAAGTTCCTTAAACAATAAAAACATCAAGTTAAATCAATAAGTTTCTTTCATGTCTATCAATGGCTACAGCAAAATAACTTCTGTAAGCAAGTCAATACAATGATGAAACTTTAGCATGAGCATCATAGGCCGGTAACCTCAAATGCACCCATTAGAGAGAGAGTGTAAATCTCTGTAGTCAAGCTCACAGTTCAGAAAAAACACATGTAAAATTAGGCGAAAAAAGTGCAAAGGGGAAGGAAACCTGCTGCCAGAATGCATTACTGCTTTTACAGTTACAATACAAAACCATATATCACTGTACAATCGCAGTACTTTTTTTTGTAATAGGTGCCATGGAGCTCTAAGTCTCATTTCTGTTCTGGATTTACTAACAGATGCTACACAGCAAAAATGAATTGGCTTGATTTAATTCAGTTGAGTCCTACAGCTCTGAAAAACACATTGAGAAAATGTGTGCACATATGTGCAAGCTGCTCCTGCTCTCACAGATCCCAACACGTCACAGGACACGAAACTATGTATCAGCACTTAGTCAGCCCAGACTCTGAACAGACAGTAGGGTCACTCACTCCTACACATATTGGAAAAGGTGAGGGATTTCATTAATTGTTCATTCTTCTCTCACATCTACTCTGCACTCCAGAGAAGTGCCCCTGTTGTGGCCTTTTCACTCGTTCTGTCTGCTTGCTTTATTTTTCATCCTCTGTTGGCTCATCAACCTTAGTGTCCTCACTGTTGACAAATCACAGGCTAACTCCAGTTGAAGACTATTGACTTTCATCTCGTTCTCCATCCCTTCCTTTCCTTTCCTGCTGGTCAGTTGTTCTTCCATGACAACAGACACACGGTGGAGTGTTATCATCATCTTGACTCATTTATCACAACCCTGCCCATCTCTTTGACATGTACTGCTCCAATCTGTCCAGTCATGCCCTTTTCCTGATGCTCTCTTGCTTACTATTCTTTTGCTGTCTTGCAAGTACTGGCAGTTCCTTCAGGAAATGCAAATGTAGTTCAGCAGCTGCTATTCCACAATGTTCCAACCGCAGTGATTCAAAAGTGTAGACATCCATGTCAGTAGTGGTCATTTAGCAGACAAAAGCGCTTAGAATGTCACTGGGACAACCTGGAGTTAAGTGTTTTGCTCAAGGTCATAGGTGTGATAACTCATGTTTGAACCAGCAACGTTTTGAATGCCAAGTCCAGGGCATCTTTCTATCTAATATTGTAATAAGTCCAAGTTCAGTTACAGATACAGTTCTAGAGATCAAGGTTGGAAATAAGATACAATTGACAGAAATGATGAAACATAAAAATGGCAAACACTTTTTTTTATATTAAATTTGACAACAACAACAAAAAAACAACAACATATTTGCACTGTTCATTGTCAAGGCTGTCAGATAATTCCAGAACTGACTTGAGGCAGAATCTTGACTGACTACTGTCAATCATCCAAATGGGAACTGGCAATGGTTGGTATTATTAATCTCAAAATGGCCATAAATCAGTTGATGAATTATGAACTACTGGACAGTATTTAGATTTTCAGTCCAGCAATGACGCAGCAAGTTCTCTCTCAGCAGTGGCATCACACGCTCATCCCAGACACAAAATGTAAAAAATATGTAGGAAAATATCACTTATTATTTTGTTTGTTATTCCTGTTCATTCCTTGCAGCTAAATACTGTACTGAAAACATGTCTTGATTATTGTATACATATTTTACTTCTACAATGATTGTTGACTGTTTGGTAAAAACACTATAAATGAACACTATAAATCTCAAGATATATCTAGAACAATATTGACCAAAATACTGATTATTCTGGTATTTGCTATGATGTTTTGAAAGACTGCAAAGTATAAAGTCAGTGAGAGCAGAAGAGGGTGTGAGACGGTTGTTTCTCTTGGGTAAACAGAGTGATTTGGACAGGGTGACACTGCTGGAAGGGACAGCCAGAAGGAAACAGCTTCTACCTGGAACCAGATCCAGTCGCCTCTTATTAATGCAGTGGATTCAGAATAAG